TTACACACACACACACACACACACACACACACACACACACACACACACACACACACGTCTCCCCCATGGCCATAGTCCTGTGGGTGTTTGCAAGGTGCCACTTGTACTCCTACCTTTTCTTTCCTTCTGTTGTATATGTTTCTCTGTCTCACTTTTTTATTGCTCAAAATAACTTGTTGTCAATGTACCTCTCTCAACTCAAAGGTTCTGCAAAGTTCGCAACCAAATTAGCAAACTCTCTTGGACCTTTCCGCCACTTGGCTCACCTAACAGCATTAATGCTAAAAATAGGCTCTTTGCCGCTGCTTGCAAAAGACATAGGTTTGATTCCAAATGATACAGAAATTGCTTCCTTCTTAGCCTGGTTTTAATTTGCCTGTTAGGCAGGGTCGAAGCAGCCGGCCCCTTAACCGTGTCCGCATGCTCTGGGGTCATTTTGTACCCCCGGGGTTGTATTCTTCACATTTTAGAATACTTCAAGTAGGGTGTAGTATCTTTGCTTCAAGTATGAAGATCTCTTTGAAACTTTCAGTATTTCTCTAAAAATCATTTTGACAGACTGCTATGCAAAGCGTACGGATCGGATTAACGAGTTAATTTCCTCTTTGGAAGTGGTGGCACAGAGTTTCCCTCGTCACATGGATACAATAGTAAAACACGACATACGGGTTAAATGATCTAAAATGCCTTGAAAAAATGTAAAACGCTTACATTGTGTGTTTGGAAGACAACACTGGTAGGTCCTACTTCTTTTCTTTACCCTCTTTTATTCCTGTCTTCTGTGTGTCTTGTGTTTTCTTTGCTCTAAACTCTATATGAATGTTATTACACGGATGTGCTTCTTTTATGTTAGCAAATAAAACAAATAAAAGCAACCAAATTAACAAACTCTCATATACCCTCCCCCACCTTTCTGTCCACCAGTCATGCCCAGCTATCAGTGTTTACACTGTGGAGAATGTCGACTCAGCCCTAGACGCAGCCACACGCAGCTTCTGCAGTCAGGAAGTGGAGATGCGCAACGAGACCAACGAGGTGCACCTATCGAAACTGTTCCAGTGGTACCGCGCTGACTTTGGCGAGACCGAGGTGGATGTTCTGAAGTGAGTGGCACTCTTATGATCTCCACAGCTCTGCCATAAGCTGACAAATCCTTTTTTTCATTTTGGCGCCAAAATCTTTTATATTTGCTAAATCGAAAACCTGATCAGAGTGAAACTGTGACTAGTTTTTTGATAAATTAGAATTCAAATTTGGGAATCACTCTATTTTTAAATGGTTACGCTGACAAAATACCTCTTTTTCTCAAAACTGCTTTGAAGAAAAAAAGGCATCTTGTCAGCTTACAGCAGAGCTCCCCCCACCCTCCCTCCATCCCCATCGCCTTTTATTATATTTGCTGTTGTCAGTGATTTCTGTTTGTGATGTGTTATTGCTTTATTATTGTCTTGGTTTTACGCAGGTCTATTATAAAACAAGAGGGAGTGGGGAAGTGAAAAGGTGTTTGGGGGGGGGGTTGGAGGGGTCAGGACGTCAATAAAGTTTGTTTTGGTTTTCTCCCTGTTAAAGTAACCGATGTCTGTGATGTTATGGTTAGCCTTTTAAATGATGTTGACCTCAAATGTTGGGAGTTTGGTTCTCATTTGGGGAAATCTGCCTCTCTTCCTCCCCTCAACCTTTTTCTTTGTCTTTCTTTTTTCTTCTTTTTGCTCCACCTTCTCTTATTCCTCCTCATCCTCCTCCTACTTGAACTTTGACGTGCCGCTTAACCACCAGTCCCAGAATGACTAACAGTCTTGGGAACAGTACAGTGAAGTTTACTGTTTTCAATTTTGACTAGTCTCAATTCAAGTGATAGAATGTGTATTACAATTGAGACCAAAACTTAAGTTGCCATTATTGAAGTAGTTGAGCAGAAGAATAAGAACAAAATCTCAAATATATATGTCAAGATTTCAACCTGCAACCCAGCTCTTTATATTTTTTCCCCCTAAATGTTCTCTAATGTTATCCACTGCAGATACTGCCCATAGGGAGACACTATTATTACAGGATATTTTGCATAGTTTGATTGTAAAAATTTACTTTCAGCATTAAACAAATTTGCCATTGTTGCAGAGGGTGAGTGTTAAAACTTTGCTTTCAGTATTTAAATTTTTAAAAGTTTATCATTATTGCAGAGTTTGGACTTAAAATCTTTGCTTTCTTTCAGCTTTTTAAAAGTTTGTCATTATTGCAGAGTTAGGGTTAAAAACTTTGTTTTCAGCATTTTAAAAGTTTATAATTTCTTCCTCAGATGGATGATGCCGTACCTGAGCCAGTCTGAGCACGACCGCTGCAGCATCCTTATCCTCAAGCTGGAGAAGATGGGCCCTGTAGCGCTGCAGTACAAGAAATACGACTGGTCTATCAACAAGACGTGACCGAGACGCACTATAGAAACACCGTGACCCCTCCCCCCCTCCCTTTCTTTTCTTCGTGTTTTTCTCCAGCTACTCTCTGTTTACCTTGTTGGATGTTCAGATATATGTATTGTAATGTCATGAAATGAGTCGCTTGTTAGGTATATCTCCTCGTAAAACTTGTTGGGAATCGAACAATTTTTGCTTCTTTGGAAAATTCGTTTACCTAGTTGCAATGGGATTCCAGATATATGGAATAATTTGAAGAGAAGAAAGTGGAAGATTTCAAAATTTTGATGTCACAGACATAGTTGAAGCAGACTTAGGCTAGAGAGGTGAGCAGAGTAAGCTTGATTCCCCGTTTGGACTTCTCTTTTGACATCCACCCCTTGGCGCCCATATGACCGTATGCAGTTGCGAGTGCCGTAAAATCTTACTAAAACTAAAAAACGAAGACAGAGTGGGCTGAATCTCTTTCTTCCTCCCTCCTCACCAACCAAGTCAGTTGTGAGGCTATAACATTGTGTGAACAAAGTGAATGGATGTATTTAGTTATGTCCCTTGAATCATAGCCTGCTTGGACACTGTTTTGGTCAGTAAGGTACAGGGTAGGGACAGCTGGATCAGCTTTTACCTAACACATCGTCAACAAAACTTGGTCCTGGAGTAAGGGAAAATTGTACAAAAAGATGAGATAAGACGACAGTCCACCAACAGCTTTTTGCCCCCTGGTCTTCTTTGATATAATATCTGATCCTTCCTTGAAGTACTTCCACCTTTGACTTGTAATCGAAGCGACTCATTATTCTTTTCCAGGGAGGAGAAGAAAAGAAGAAGGTCCTATGTGAGGTTCCTTGCCTTTACAGTCAATGTGCTTTCCTCTGTCACACTCACTCAATGCTTTTCATTTTCTCTAAAATCATTGTTAGCTTTTCTGCCTTCAATAGGGTTTGAGCTGTTTTCTCTACCAGTTGATTGTTTATGTTATGACATGATGGTGGAAAAGTCAAGACTTATCACTACACAATGGAACTGAGGTTTATGCCCTCTCACTAATATCAAGGCAGTATTTCTGTATATTTAATTGGCTATGCACCGCCTTGTATATATATATATATATATAAATATATATTTACCCTTCATACCCTCAGCTTGATTATTTCCTTGTAACGCTTGCTGTTGGTAGCCCAACTAACACTTTTGTATAATATGTATGCCTTGTGTGTCTGCCGTCTCTCTGAGGTGCTTAATTGAACATTATACGTGAAAACATTATATAATCTGTGACATATCGGTAGAATGCAATTTTAATGTTGACTCGGTTTTCAGAAATTTTAGACAATATCATAGTTTTGGGGGGAAAACATTTTTTAAACGTTAGGATAGTGGTTATTTTCAGATGCAACTCGGTTGTCTAGTTTAAAGTCGTCTCACCTGTTCTTTTTCTTGTTTTAAAAAAATACTGAACCAGGTGTGTCAAAGTGTTGTATGTTGCACAGAGAGGGAATCCAGCTGGCCTCAGTTCTTAGTTTTGTAAACAAAAGGTGAACGTTAATTAAGACAAGAAAAAGATTTTTAAAAGAATCATAATTCCATTGCCAATTTTGCAACATTTTGTTTCAATTGTGCAATTCCACGGCTGTCCATTCTACAATTGATTTCAAATAAAACTTTGACATGCTTTCGCTCTGGCATCAAATTGAAGGTGGAAAATGTTGAGTCAGATTAAAGGAAAGTTTAGATAATGTCCTGAATTTCTGAAAGTCGACAGTCTTGATATTAACCTGGTTCTGCTGTATAGCATGCAAAAGAGCTTAAGTAATCCCTCTGTTTAGAGAAATGAGCCCATAGGTAGCAGAGTCCCTGCGTTTGTGTAAAATCTTTGTGTGAGTGTAAGTTGAGCGGGTTTAAAAAAAAATAATTCAGACTTTTGTCTTCATGAGATGAATTACTTTTGTAAGGGAGGTGTACATTTTCTCAGGGAGAGAGCTAGGTCTAAGCACATGGGGATCGGTTCTCTGTGTGATAATAAAGTCAAAACTGTTGAATGTTGAATTTGGGATGTTCAGGGATGTGATATAGTATCTGTGTGTTCTCATGAGGGGTTCTGACAAGTGCTTCTTTAGTGTGTGTGTGTTTGTGTTAGCGCACATGTGTGTGCATGGCTTGTTTTTAAAAAGTCACATTTGATTGTGTTCCATTATTTAAATTCTATTTTTTAGATAGTGTTCTTTGAATATTTCAACTCACGCTTGTTACTGGTTGAGAGCACACTATTCCTTCGAAAAATTTGGAACAGCGAGCTTCTGCTTGTTGTCAGCCTATCCAGTTCTGAATGACAACTTCTGTTGTTTTGATTTGTTTCAGGGTCCGTCTTATATGCTGTTTAGGAACTGCTACTCTTTACTATTTTCCTTGTTAAACTTAAGCACATTGATGGATGATTAGTCTTGTAATGTGAATTTCTAGCATTTTTTACTTTTTTGCTTGTTCTGTCGTAAAAGCACTGAACTTTTGGCGGGTTTTGGCTTTGATTGATGATGACAATGAGAGTGTTTTTAGTTAATTTTTTTGGAAGAAAACAAGACAGTTGAAAGGAAATGAGAATTCAAGTGCTGCTGTGAATGCGGTATGCATTAGTGTAAGTTGTTCAACAGTTTTTATTAGTATATTTTTATGCCCTTGTCTTGCATTTTTTCTTCTTCTAGATTTTGTTTACTGTGATGGATGACTGGAATGTTCAGTTATTTGCCCTGTGATCACTTTGTGTTCTACATACGGATAACTTGAGAACGACAGATGTACGCCATTGGCCGATATTTATAGTAACAGCCTTCTTGTTTGACGTCATTGAGGGATTCCCACTTTGTTGTCGTTCACGGTGGCAACACAACCGCAAAGTACTATTGCAGTATTTTCAAAGCCTGTAGCTTACAGTGGCGTGGTGGCGGAGTGGTTAGTGCGCTTGTCTCCAAAGCAGAAAGTCCAAGTTCGAGCCTCGGTTCGGCCACAGATTTTTTTTTTCAATTGTATGTTTTTTAAATCCATCAAAGTCACGACATTAAATGCTGGAGGGGATGGGGGAAAAAAATCTGTCGTGTTGCCACCGTGAACGACCACAAAGTGGGAATCCCTCAATGACGTCAAACAAGATGGCTGTTACTATAAATATCAGCCAATGGCGTACTCGTACATCTGTCGTTCTCAAGTTATCCACATGTCTTTGTGTTGATTGTCTTTTCATTTGCACTTTTTTCTGGAGCCGGTTGATGTTTCTGTTTTGAAAATGAATGTTGCCGGCTTTCATTCTTATCATCTTTGCTCTAACTTTAAATTTGATATTTGCTGAGAATTGATACATTCCTTGACACTAATTGTCCCCTGCTAATGCTAATTTCTTTTGTCTTTATTTACAGGAATGTTTTTGAGTTTAGAAGTAGGCAAACTGCAGGAGGAGATGTTTCTGGATTAGTGCAATAGAGAACTTTGTGTTGTGGTTTTCTTTAATATAAACAAGCGGGTGTTTTGTAGGCTTTGTTGTGTGGTTTGCCCCTTCCATTTCTCCTAATATTTTGATAGTTTATCTTGATCTCTTCCAGGCTGAATGCAGCCAATGCTTTGCTGACTTATAAACAAAAAAACTATTTTGCCAACTTTTAAAATCTTATTTTAAATATTGCTTTTTTAAAGATTCCGTCTTGTCAGGTCCAAAGAATGGCTCCTATACTTTACTCAGTACGTTCCATTTAAAAAAACAAAACAACCATCTTTCTTGTACTTGTGAAAGTTTCTTCAATTTTGTATTCTCATTTTATTTTTTCTTGTCTTCCCATCCCAAGTAAAGGGCTTTATTGTAACTGCTTCTAAGCAACAAGTTGTGTCTCTGACGTTTGGAGAGTATATTTTCTAGAAAATGTATGAACTGCTAATCATAAGACTCCATCATACCACATCACTTTTCCAAATGGCATGTGGCTGAGTCTTACATCAAGCAGTCAGTATGTTGTTTATTGTAGTTGTCTGATTGCTGTTTGCTGACACACCTTTTGCAAATGTTCAAACTTACTTTATCTGGTGGTACCAGCGTCTGAGGTGGAATGGTTAGGCTCTTTATGGTTGTATGCAGAAGATGTGGGTTTGGTTGTGGTACGGGGTAGTTTTTTATATTGTGTCTTTGCCTGTCTGCTGAATTCCACCAAGTTGGGATAGACCCAGACAGGCCCACTCGAAGCCACCAGCCTCGTAATGGATTTTCAGTGTGTCAGTGTGGGTATAAAATATCTAGAGATCTATTACATCCAGTAAAGTGAGGTTGGTGCCATGGTCAGTATCTGTCTCTGGCTGATGTGTCTGGTTTCTAATTTACCCACCATTTTATCTGTTGTCCAAGGAGATGTTACACAAGACGTGAGAGCTTTGCTGTTACTTGCCTCTTTGTTTGATGCTTCTTGCTACAAAGTAGGCTACATAAAGTGCATGCTGTAATAATATGCTATAGCACGCTTAGATCTACAGAGATGAAATGGCGTCTAGTCTTGTATAAGATGTACACGGTGCTATGCTTAATGAAAATCTGTTTGTGCTGCTCTGTTTAGCACTTTGAAGAACGGTATGTGAGTGTCTTACGTGAAGCTGCCTAGTTGGGATTCTTTTTACTTTATGCAAGTTTGAATGATTCTTTTTGTGTGCTTGTCTTTTTTGTAATTTTTAAAGTTATCTTGTTACTCTTGTTTCTTCATGCTCATTCGTTCTTTTATTTTCTTAGCAATTAATTAATTTTTTTTTTTGGGGGGGAGCTTTTTTCCATTTTTGCCATCTAGATAGAATGTAGTTTACAGATACTGAAGACCAACAGGATTTTGCAGACTTATCATTTGTGTAATATTTACAAGCTTACCATTTTTAAAAAAATACATTTTTCGAAAGAACACTTATGATTCAGTGTTTGTAACTTGATTTTATTTTAACTTTAACTTACAGTGGGATGGTTGGAGGATGCCTATTTCCTTACTCTCCCTGTTTTTTTGCATTCTGTCTTGCCCTTTTCCAGCTTTGATTGACCACTATTGTATCAATATGCTTACTCTACTCAAACAAATTCTTATTTGCAGGATGATAAAGTGTCAAGTCTAATGCAGTGATATACCTGAGGCAAAGTTCATGTGGCCGTTTCATTTGACCATGGTTTGCATACTGCAACAGTCATGAAGACTTTTTGATTGCTCTTTTTTCTTGTAATTTTCTACTCTCATCATCTTTATTGAGGACATTGACTGTATGAAATGCTTTGTTAATGTTTTTAACTTCATATATATCATACCTTGTTTTAATGATAAATTACAAAGGATGTACGTGAACATGTGACTGGTATTTTATTTTGTAATTGGAATGCTGAAAATTTGTCAAGAATAATAATGTGAGCTCTTTGGGCATTAATGAATAAAAAATATATTAAAAAATAATAGAAAAAACAGAATTTGTCTGTCCTTGTGGGGCATTTGGTTAAAAATGAGGACATCAACTATTAATGCATGTATTACTCCTAAAGTTACAACATATCGTGTATGATATAGTATTAGTATGGTTACAGAGGAATCCGCTTAGATTAAAATCTTTAGGACCACAAGATTTTCTTTGGTTTGTATGGGTTTTCGGTAAGGGGCGGCACAGCGCTCAATATTTGTTGATTACCTTCAACTGCTGGGTATACAGACTTTCGCAATGTTTTGAGGGTGGATATAAGAATCATCCTATGCAGAAATCATGATATTAATGGGTTGTTGATAGCAAAACTTTTGGTCATTTGTACCCAATGTGGCACCCTATTTTAAAAAAAATAAAAATTTTTATGTACAGATTAGAGGTGTTACAAGAGAGTAACAAAAAAGGAGGAGAGACAAGGACAATAGATGTTTGATAGGAAAGGAGGGAAGATAAGGATGATAGATGTTTGATAGGAAAGGAGGGAAGATAAGGACAATAGATGTTTGATAGGAAAGGAGGGAAGATAAGGATGATAGATGTTTGATAGGAAAGAAGGAGCAAACCACACAAGATCATCCTCCAACTATCCACAGGCTGAGAGGGTTACATTATCCAAGCAGAAAGACCGAGATACTCATAAAAATTCTCCCCACACAAGAATAGAACTCTGGTCTTCTGTGTACCCTCGTGAAGTGTTCAACCACTAGGTTAGGGTGTCCTAATTTCGACCGATGCCTATCTTCAACCATTCGTACACCCCCAACAGTTAAAAGCTACATGTATTAGTTTTCAGAAAATTAGTCTTGCTTTCTATTAAAATCCTGGCAAGTCATGTCGGGGAGATATGTGATCACCAGCATGGGAGGTAGACTTTGCTAGGCGTATTTTCCTGCGAGTAATGTACGTCAAATCACCGTGATTTCGTTTTTCAAGGTAGCGCGTTTTTGGGCAGACCCCATAATTTGGCAGCTATCAGTACTATCAGTACTTGAAAGAAAAGCCGAAAAAGTAAGTTTATTTTAATGAAAGGATTGATTTTTCCAGCTTAGTAATCATTTCTCTCAGTTTACATGATAATAAAAGTAAAAGCATTAATCCTTGCTTTTAAAGTCAGCGAGACTGGAAAAACAAAGTGGTAGAAGTTAGGAATAGGATTTTTGTGTTATTCCTAACTTCGACCGCAAGACATCCCAACGTGGTGATAAGGATAATAATAAAGCTACTGCTTGTGCTATTGCTGTTGTTGCTGCTGCTGCTGCTGCTGCTGCTGATAATGATGTTGATGAAATTTTGGTGGTTGTGCTATGACTGATGGGGTTTTTTTGATGATGGTGGTGGTGATGAAGATGATAATGATGAGGAGGAGCATGAGAGAGACGAGGAAGAGGAATTCAGTTTGGGGGGGGGGGTGATGAAGATGTCAAGGGGCTGCTGCTGCTTTGTTGATGATGTTATTGAAAGGCTGGACTAGTGATGAGACCTTAGTATCAGTGAGCTTATAGGCCCTATAAGAAAAAGAAGTGGTCTAAGAAAAGAGAAGTAGTCGGCATAGCCTAGCCCAGATCCTCGGCAAAAATTTGGTAAAAATCAAAGGTTTGGATCTTACCGGTCAATGTTAGGACAAACGGTCGAAGTTAGGCTTTGACATCGGTCGAAGTTAGGGAACTGTCGGTTGAAGTTAGGGAAACGTACCCGTCACATTCAAGTTCATGCAGTAAAAAACAAGTCCTATAAGGCAATAATATTTTTGCTCTAAACCAATCAGATGTGTCTCATTGCTGTAGATGTTATCTGAAAGGCTTAGCCCAATTGGTTGGCGAGTTCTACAGCAAAACAGCAGCCCACGAACTCCATCAGTCGAAGTTAGGGCACTCTACCCTACACCACAGACTGTTTAGTGCAAGCAAAGACAAGCATGTTGTCATGATAATGCTCATTTAGTTTTAGTGCTGGGAGGAATACCAGACAAGACAACAGAATAATAGAAACATCAAGAGGAACAGTGCAGAGGCAGAACTTGCCAGTCCTAACCAGTTTTCTTTTGGGGGGGGGGGGAAGAGTTGTTTTAGTTAGAGTATTACAGCACTTGCAACACAATAAGGTCATATGTGTCACAACGTGGTGGTATCAGGCGCTTGTCAATTTTTGGGTATGTAGAGTTATTGATATCATCTGAAAGCTTATTCTTTTTCCTTGCTTCCAATGAAAAAAATATTCACCTAGCTTGAATGAAAGTCGAGACATTTGTGATTGAAGAAGGTGGGGTAGCCTGGTGTCAGAGGTTAAATTGACGAGAAAATGGCCACCAAAGTTTGATAACTTCAATCGCTTAAGGGTTCTTGAAAACTGAAAATTACATATTTTATGCCTTTAAACAAGGTTTTTCTGTAAATTCACATGAAAATGTGTCCTCACATGAACATAAAATGGTGTTTAGCCCCCCCCCCCCCCCCAATTCCTATAAAAATTGCCAAACTGGTAGAAAAATACCCTATTCTTCGATTTCATTATTTTGACGAGCGCTTGATTCCACCACGATACCTCACATATAAGTGCGAAGCTTAGAGAATAACAAATACAAAAAAGGAGGAGGAGAGAAAAGGGTGTTTGATATGAAACAAGTAGCAAACCACATCAATATGAGCACCCGCCGCCAACCATACACTACTAACAGTATCCCAGCACCAGACAATGTGAAGAGGAGCCACCAGGGAGGTGCACTACTCAATCAACAAATACAATATCAACACAAAATCAAAGAAACAGAGGCAAAAATTGTGCATTAGTACAGTCTGTTGCCACTTTTACTTTTCTCAATCATCATGACCCAATGAATAAAAGAATTCTGTAATGCAAAGTGAAACTCATGCACTGCATCATGATCAGAGGAAACAGAGAGGAAACGAAGACAAGACCACACGATGATCATACTCAGCAATGTTTAGAATTTATTTACAAGAGGGACATTTTGGGGAGGAGGGATGGGGTGAAGGAAAAGAGACATTGTCACTTACAGTGGAACTTCATACACATACTAGACAAAGGCAGAGGGGGAAAAAAAGACAATCAAATGTGGGCAGTAAAATAGATTGCACGTCTTATTTACCACAAGAGGCCACAACTTGGGACTCTACAAGAAAAAACATCTTCATCAGTAATTTTGAAGAGGGGTGGGGGGGAAGAAAACAATCTCACTTGTGACAACCGACACTTCAAACATACCCGCAATCAAAACTCTCAATCAATCAATCACAACCCATGCTTTTTTCTTCTTACATTTACACACACAAACACCCATACAAGGAAATAGAACACATCATCATACAAGCATGGAAAGCAAAGCTTTCAGCCAAGCTTTTCATGAACGCAAACTATATACAAAAGTTCATTATTAGCATAAGTCAGTTCTAAAAAGACCAGGTTTCTTGATTCCTTCTACCATGAGCACACAAGGAGACAAATGAAAAGTTGAAAAATCAACTGGGTATTTTTTTTCTTCAGCAACCAAAACCCCCAAACCAGAAGAGAAAAAAGTTCCAGAACATGAGACTGTATTACTATTACATGAGCACTTCTACAGCTTGGTCCACCCAGCACGTCTCCCCAATTCCTTCCCATCCACACACCTCACTGGGCTTGCCAAACCAACAGCTGCACAAAACTGCCTGCATTTACTTTAACACTATCATTAAAAGAGATCTTTTAAAATGACTATAATAGATGATATTGCCTGAAATTTTTGAAATAGCAGGATCCTTGACAAACTGTGAGCCTCAGCAAAAAAACAACCCCACTATGACTAGTTGATACCTAGTAAACAACAAACCCCCACCCCCAAATTAAATAATTGAAATGAACTATCTCAACTATCTGTCCGCCCCAACAGTTTGACATGAGCGAGCAACAGTAAATGACTTTTTTTTTTAAACACGCCTCTACACAAGAGTTGTATGTTGGACACAATGAACTGTTCAAACAAAGAATAGATTTACATGTGCACAATAAGAAAAAATTACAAGATTTTTCTTTGACTGTCTTCAAAACCTTCTGCTATAAATCAGCATTAGTTTTTTTTCTAATCAGGAAAAGCATTTGAACTTTATTGCTGAACAACCCAGGTAGCATTACTATTACCAACAGTAAAAGTAATTATCAACATAATATTCAAAAGGAGCAGTGGTGAAACTCATCAGCCTGCACAATAAGCACTGCTGTCACATCATTGGGACAATATAACATCAAGACCACACTTTCTTACCCCCATTTCAACTCGTACATTATTCTTCTATTGCACTCATCAGAAATGTGCAACTTTTCAAAACTTGTCCTCTTTTTCTATCCACTTTAACCATATCTGTACGCCCTGGGGTCATTTTGTAAACCCGGGGTTGTATCCTTCACATTTTAGAATACTTCTAGTACGAAAATCTCTTTGAAACTTTCAGTATTTCTCCAAAAATCATTTTGACAGACTGCTATGCAAAGTGTACAGATCGGATTAACGAGTAAATTTCCTCTTTGGAAATTGGGGCACAGAGTCCCCCACGTCGTATGGATACGATAGTAAAACACAATGTACGGAAAGGGTTAACAGCGAGGCCAGCCATTTTAGCAACTTTTAAAATAACCATTAAACCAACAACAAAAATCTGGTTAGCAGGTTAGCCCGCTTGTTTCAGTAACAAAATACATTTCAATTCATCGAATTATTGTATTTTGATCGGCACTCAATTTCTTTTTAAGTTTTAAAAAATTTTGCCGCTGCTGTTGCTGCATTTCTGTTTAAAACTACTGGTATGATCTGCACCTTGAAACAGAATTCTAGTTCTCTCTGTCTGTGGCAAGTCAAATAGATTCATCTGGATCTAAGAACTATCTTGAGTGGACTCTAGATACCAAGTCATTTTCGAGTCCCGGGATAATGAACAAAGAGAGTAAGATTCGATCAGAACTTAATAACAGTGAAATGTCCGTTACCGCTAAGCATGGTTTGGATCGAGAAAACATGATTTGGCTGTAGTAAGAAGGCAAAAGTCAGGACAATAGACACCTGTTTTGGTCCAAGGTGAATTTTAACAAAAGAATAACATAATGTTCATCTTTGTCCTCAAGAGGCCTCAAAAGGCAACATTTACCCCCCATGAACTAGATCAGCATCAAATCCTCACTATCCAGGAATATACCATAATGGAGCACAAAGACCGCACTAGGCCAATTATTTTTAAAGCTTCCATTTATAGAGATGGTACTTTCAGGACACAAAATTTAATGCCATTGAGTAAAAAAAAACAAAAAAACAAGGCATTTTGAATTTTCATTTCTCACTGCATCAGAAGCACACATTTTGGCAAACTGCTTAATTAAAAAAAAAAAAAAAAAACTGCACTGGTTCACAGAACAAAATCGTAAACAATATGCAATAGAAAATACTGATCTTCTTAAAATCTAAAAAATCACAGCATGAGAGAAAATGTCTCATTATGTCCACAAGGCATTACAATTGTACATCTTAAGTACCATACAAGACAATCTGACCAGCAACACTGCAGCATGAGTTATTCGGGAAAATAGGAGATAAACTCTACGGAGTAGACGCAGCTCTGCGCTGTAGACAAGTCTCTACAGCTTCACCTAATGTCTTGGCAGAATGTCATGGTATTGACTGCCTTAAAGAGAGAAAAGTGCTTTTAACTGACATTGCTGTACTGCTTTCACCACCCTTTTCCTCTGAGAATTCTATTTGTGTTCTAATTGTACACTCCAAAGTATGAGCTTGTTTAAAAAACAACAACGTGATACAAGCATTTTATTGTCATTATTATTTTGTTTTCAACAAAATGGTACTAAAGGCATTTATCACTATTATTATTCTCATTAAATCATTATTATTATTACTAAAAGGCAAAGCCATGCACAGAAAATCCAATAGATAAAGATACTGAAAGCATCACGAAAACAAACTTAAGGTGAAAAAGTTACTTCAGACCCACAATCACTGTTAAGTGTAATACATTGGGTTACACTCAGTCCCTTCATAACTTCAGTCAAGACTCAATTTTTTTTCCTCCCACAGCAAGCCCTGTGTGTGTATAAGACTGCTGTTCAGAAGGAAAAACCCCCCTCAAAAACATGTAAACAAGCCACCTTTTTGTATTACAGTATTATGATGTGCACTACTCGTAAATCTGTAGCAGCCCTTCCACTCACGGAAAAGCATTGTCTAACTAAGGGAAAAAACAATTTGTCGCAGCGCCCTACCTCCCATACAACTCACTTCTATCCTTCTTTAAAAAGAAAAGAGAAATTGATGGCAATAAATAACCAATGTCACCATTATTTTGTATTTGACAATGTAAGAGAGAGGACCATAAAATACTTCGTCAAAATGCGGCTCAAATCAGAGCTTCAAGTCACAAAACCACTCAAATCGAAAAAAAAATGCAATAGAACCACCACCCACCCCCCCTCCTTTAAGATAGCCATAAAAAGTGTGTTCTCTTCTCCATTGAAAAGTACCAACTTGGCAAAATTCATTGACTTTATACTTGATTTTAACTGGATGTGTCATTCAGTCTTATCATACGATAATAAAGTGTGTAGTATTAGTAAGATTGACATTACTTGCCAGAAGGAAGCCTTAGCTGACAAGTAGGCCTACAACACAACACAACTCCCCCCCCCCCCCCCCCACACACACACACCACCACCACCCATTCTTGATTCTTGCCCTAAATACACTATAAAAAGATGTGTGTATACTGCGTAGTATTAATGGGTGAGCTCAGATGTTTACATTTGCAAGTTCGAAACTAAGAGTTCACATGTTGGCTACATTGCATGACAAATAGTTCTGCCAGCAAGGCTAGAGATTAATTGTAAGGAACATGAAATCATACAACAAAACGAAAAGAAACCACAACATTCATCTCAGATTTCACAAAAGATCTTGACATTCAAAAAGAGATAATGCTCCAAGACGTTTCAAAAACATGAAATTATGATCAATGATAGCCAAAAAAAACAAAAACAAAAAAACAACAACCAGAAACAAAAGGAGATATTACCAACAGTGAACTTAGAAAAGATTTCAGCTAGCCATCACAAAATGTTTTCTTGCATCCTCACAAAAGTATGGCACAAATTATAGAAGCTACAATACAAAACCCCCCCTTCCAAAAAAAAAGGCAAATAATCACATAATGGTCAACATACTAGATCAAGAAACACAGTCAACAAAATCAGTCAACAAACAGAGTGGCATTACAACTCTCTCAAGAAAACCAGCACCTAGAAATACAGAGAACAAAAGCAACATCTCTGTGCAACAGTTCTACGATACAGCAAAGTTCTCCCTGTGAGATTGATGACAGAGACTTTGTCTTCGTGAGGGATCATAAAATTGCCAGACAACTCCAAACTGATAGTTTCCTTCTCCAACTTGGTAGTCACTGTAATACATTTTTTGTGTGTGTGTTTTTTTCCCCTATATCAGCATTTAATAGATTACAACAAGGTTGATGTGATTTTCTTAAAGTGCATCTGAACTAGCGGAATTCACAAAAATACAGAACTAGATTCAACAAAATTCACACCCCTACCAATGGGGGTTATCTCTTTTACCTACATTTTAACCAGAAAACACTGAGAGAGAAACTTGCATTTTGGATGACATAAAGGAAGAAAGAAGATAAAGTACCACCATCAGAGCTCCAGCAGAGTTTCTGATTCAGCAACAAAGTGAAATGGAAGTGTGGCAACCGTGATAAGACCAACTGATCATTCAGGAGAATACAGTGGCCAGTGATGTTCCATTAAAAAGAAACAAAACAATAACAACATTAGACTTTTTTCCCCAAAGAAACAAAAACAGAAGGGAACGGTCTTCTCAAAACACCTTTTTCTGCTTATTAAAGATAACACAGAATTTCACTGTCTTCATATAAAGAAAAATTAGCCTGCATACCACCTAGCAAGGAATGGTAGAGTTGTAAAAAAAAACCAAAAAAAACTTAAAACTCCAGTCTCAACACAACAGAAATGCTACAGCAAATCTAAAAAGAGTCATCACACTTCCATTTCACTTCAAGGACAAAGCTTATACGTGAGTTGACACACAGACCAGAAATATAACAGTACAAGTGTTGTTATCCTATAGCACATAAATTAGCAGGAGGCACTATCTCAGAAGTTAAGCAAAGGGTTCCCTAATCTCCAACCATGACAAAAGCAAAAACCAACACATTCAATCCGGGAGTTAAAATACAAAAGAAAGTGGTAGGAAGGGGAACACTGTAGTTTTGGCGGCCACTATCTGAGGTACATATGTAAGCAGCCCAGCGCACTTGCCGTCAGACCAACAAGACCTATGTAAGTGCTTCTCTGACTCACAGTATGGATACCAATATATTTAGAGCCCAAGCAATTCACATCCACAAATAAATTTTCATTTCTGACAGAGACATTAAGAAGAGCAACCAGCCATTTGGCAATTCCAATATACCACTATTGAACTATCGAGAAGAAAAGGCAAAAGCTACATGACAACTTGTTACCTCAAAATTTACTGATAGGTTCATTTCATAATTTTTTCAGGTAAATACAAAAACCCAGCATCACATTTTAAAAAAACTCTGAATATCACGGGTTACTTGTAGGGTACACCAACCTTTGTCAGCGACATTAATAAACCGTATACTCATCCAGACACCAATGCTTGAAACTGTTTCAAAAGCTTAAAAAACGGTTTGGTGAATACCACACATTTTGAGAGGTAAAACTTCTTTCTGGGTTCATTAATGAGAGAAACATGCAAAGGTTATTTCAAATCTCCTTTTCAAAGTAAGTCAATACAACCAGTCTGCATCTTTAACTCACCATAACTTATACTGCAAACCTTTATGTCTAATTTTCTATGCTAGAATCACCCCCATGGCAAGTGTTACAAAAAACTAAAATTCACAACAACGATGCAGATACATTCACTCACACATATTATGCAGTGCAGTCAAGTAAGGATAAAGAAAAGAAAAAAAATTAAAAATAAATTTTTTTTTTGTGAAACACCTACTAGGTCCACACCCAAAAGCAGCTTGCAGAGACTGATGGCACCTTCACACAGAAGCACTCAGCAGGGAATAGACACGGGGGACCATTGGCAGGGAACACACACGAGGGACCAGAACATTTGAAAAAATGAAGACAAAAGTTCAGGTCTACATTTCAGAAAGAAAAGCACCAAACAAAAAGAACATCTACTAAATGCAGTTGAACATTTCTGGCTAGTTCCACACCGGCCCTGATATGAAATCAGTCTGAGACTTCCTATTTAAAAAATGATTGCAATCCAAGTGTTCTCAGGGGGTTTGGGGGGGGGCAGAGGGGAAGGAAGGGAGAAGAAAAAGAAAAAAAACAAAGCAAGGTGGGTAAACACTGAACAGTAAGAATTTGGTAAATGCACTGAAAAACGGCAGCATCTTCCCAAGGACGGACATACAAAATTTTAAAGACGCAATGTGGATAAAAGACAATCACATGTGATCATGTTGTCACCCTTCACTTCCCAATAACAGAAAGATTTTTGTGCGTGATCTGAATTGTCATTTTGGATAGGAATGGAAATAGGACATTACCTGATTTGTAATGAAAACTAGACAAAAATTTATTATAACTTTAACAACACCATTTCTAATTAACATTCCACTTGACTTCTCACCAAAGTATGTGAGAGCTAGTCCTTTGTCATGCATGAAATGTCATAGTCATGATAACAAAGAAACGGACACCTTATAAAGCGAGATGCCTTTATATCTTTGTTATGATAAATTCATTAGTTTTCTTCAATTCCCAGTTCTATTTTAAGAGCAGTTTAGTCACAGAATAGACAGGAAACATGAAATAATGATGCAGAATACATAATCAACCCTTCAAAAAAACAAAACAAAAACAAAAACAAAGAAAAAAAAATACAATGTTTTGTTCCTCTCCTTCAACATATTCTTTCCTCTCTCATTCTTTAAAGCACAGAGTTCATTTAAAAAAAAATGCTTTTCACTGTTGAGAAAAGGAATTGGAGCAGCAATTATTTATTTAGTTAAACGGAGTTAATGCTAACGTGAGTCTGAATAATATGCAAGGTCCATAAGACCAATGAACTGAAAATACAACACTACTATTTACCATCACAACCGAGACCCGAGGCTAAGGAGGTCAAATGTTGTATCACAAGTGGACACTCGCAACAGCAGCAGCGTCCCCCTCTCACCAACCACACAGTGCAAAACACATCAAAGCACACAAACTGTTTCACACTCTAGGCTTTCACAGAAAAAGACTTTTTGTGCACCCTTTTAAACTAAGAGTTTTCTGGAGACATAATAACAGTAACAGAACTAGTACAGCAGTCTCATGCATTGCGAGAAAAAACCCTGCAACTTACACACACGTACATACTCTAGGGCTCCAGCTTCAATAGTGAACACTTTCTAAATCATAACAACTTCTGGATCACCATGCTCCCAGCAAACCCCTTCGTTGCCAGGTGGTGCCAGTTCCTACTGTCAGCATTTATCTTCGACTTAGCTTGTTAGCCAAGGCAGCAGTCTAGTCAGTCTCAGTGTCAGTGTAAAAACTTGCTGTCTGGTTCTGGTCCTCCCATATTCTGACCCCAAGTCTTCAATTGTGTCACCTTCTTCATACCCTTATTTCCAAAAAAAACCATAATTTCAAACAACTAGCCCATCTAGGTCAAAAAGTGAAATTTGCTAGATTTCCCCCCCGTCATTTTGGTGTTTAAATTTTGCAAGAGAACTTTAATTTGTAAGACTAGACCTGTGTTTATCAATCACTTGCAAACCTTGCAGTAAAATAATACAAGCAAATTTGGTACTCATATGCCCATTTTTTATTCCCCAAAAGGAATCCACAATGTGCTAGTGGCTAAATCTCCATATAGAAAAATTTGAGTCAGATGATTAGAGGGACATACATGATGTTAATGCCTTATACACAACTAGGAGCGGCAAATTTTGCCTACTTTTGTATCATCCATGGTAGGGCACAAAGCTAAAACTTACACATTTTCATGATGTACCATGTTCTTCATAAGGCAACAAAGGGGTTAAAGCAAAACTTTCTGATTCCAGTCAACAAAGTTACAAAACTTTTATATAAAATTTGTGGTGAAAAGCTAGTTGTATCAGAAAAGAAATATTGTTGTCTTAACTTGCAATGCAATTGACTTAAACAATGAAAACACTTGTAGAGGGCCAAACAAAGGTTTACCTCCGAAAAGCCTCCACTTGTAATGTTAGAAAAGGAGAATGCTGACCTTCATAATACTTTTAGGGGAGTGGAACCTTTCGGAACTGGACAATTTTGGGTCAGATTATGGTACCTGGGCTACATGCACAAGTATCAAACTAGCTATTAGAAACTTGGGAGAGCGCATTTTAACTTTAAGTGTCTACAAAATACGGCACATTTAAAAAAAAGGAACTTTGTCATGTAGAACCGTATGTAAATATTGATCACATTGTTGAAAACAGTACCTTGTCCTCAAAATTTAACAGTAAAAAAAAGCTTACTCTGGGCTCAAACAAAATTCAACAACTTCATGAGCCTTCCTCTCAGGATATACTAGCTTTCTAATCCCCAGAATCCTCCAAAATCAAACATGTTTGCTGTTCTAGGTCATGAATCCGTCTGATGAAAACTGCCGATCCAAAGGCTACTGCGCATTGCCAGGTCAGATCTTTCGTTTGCGCACAGAATGGAACAGACCCTAATGGACTACTAGGTCAAATTAGATTAACCAAAGTAGGTCTACACAAAATGTGGCTCTTCAACGTGCAGACTTTTGAGTCATACAGGTCTCCCAGCTGTTTAACCCTCAAAATTGTTTCCAATTGCACTCACTTCTATAAAGCCTCTACAAAATTCACCTTTCAAATAACACACCCATAGGCATGTTGTCTTCGTATACAATTTACAAACACGATCCATATACCCCTCAAAGTGCAGACATTGTGAAACAAACTACATCTTTGTACATCACAGCCTTTAAACACATGACATGATAATCTCAAACAGCTAAACAAAACAGCTCACACCGTTGTACGTGTTACAAAAAAAATATCTGTATAACATTAAGCACCTCATTGTGCCACCATACCACTTTCATTTGAAAAAAAAAAAGGCATATGTTGCCAGAATGAGCTGTAAGCAGAAAATTGCTCTAAATAGAAGAGTCTTCACATACGAAGAGTTGTAGAATTTAAGAACAATGTAGGCACACAATTATTAAATTCCTTTGGCTTAAACAGTTTTATAAGACATTCAAATGAAAATGAACTATTTCTAATTAGCATTTGTAACAAAATGAATGGTCCGAACTTCGCACAAGAGGAAGAGCAACCCCCAAAAAATCACTTAGGTCTTGAGCAACAGTTAATGCAGCTTGAAATGTCATTTCGCTTATTTGAAAAAGATCTATAGGACCCTTTCCTAATTTTACAAGTTCTGCATGCTCTGTAACCAACATTACTACATTCCTAATTCAGCGGGCATAAAAACACGAGGTCCGATCGACTATATGATAATCTTCTCTTTCAGCATTTACCTTCAAATCAAACCAAGCCAAACAGCGTTCCCCATGGTGTGAACACTGGCGATGACAATTTCTTCAACTCAAAAGGGTAAAAGTAAACTTGACCCATCCATACATAACTCGTTTGACACCCCCCCCCCCCCACACACACACACACACATTCCAAAGTTCCACTCTCAGCAGGAGCTACATTTGGGTCACCAAGACAACAGTCACAAAAGACACTTGAACTTATTTTGAGAATGCGGTTCCAAATTTACTTTTACCCCCAAAGGCCACACTCAAATACAGTGAAACCATTTTGCATCCGAATCAGATTAAAGAACTACTAGTTGTTCAGTAAATCTTTATCTTATGACAACAAGTGACAATTTTTTACTTTTACAAGTGTGCACACACTTTTCACAAAACCTAGCCCACGGCTGCAACTCAATATCTATTGATTACTTCATATTTACACAGCTGTGTTCTCTAAAAGTCAAAACTTGTTTTACCAAAAAAATGGGTTATATTCTTTTACAGCTGAGACAAATTCTAAACAAGAAAGGCATCTACAGTGGTGTCCATCTAACAGCTGCCCCCTTGGGGAGCAAGCTTAGGTTGCTCTTGGGCGGAGGTTGCTGCTAACTGAATTTTCAAAGGGGGAAGGAAGGGGGTAATGCAAACTACCCCCCCCCCCCCCCCCACGCATGCTCACGAATCCTAATTGCAGGATGGGACGATGTTGTTAGTTCAAAAAGCGATAGATTTAACCTAGGCAGCATCAATAGCCGATGTTTTACCAGATCTTGTCCTTTGAAGTGAGCTGATGCTTTATCGCAGCAGTCATGTTACCCACAGCGACCAAGATTTTTCCACTCTGAAGGAAGGTGGACCTCGGCAGGAGGGTGTGAACTGTGCTCATATACTAAATTTTTTGCCCCTAGCACATGTTGTCGTGGTATTGACTAGTTAAGGAGGATGCATGGACATTGTAATTATTGGTCAGTCTTGGTGTTCACGTTTTTTGAATGAGAAACAGGTTTTTTGTCAGTTAATTAGAAGAAAAGGCTGCTGTTAATAAGGGTTACTTAAACTTAAACAGAAAAATTCTGTTACAAGAGGATAGGTTACTGTTGGGCAGAGGTTGCTGTTAAGTGGACACCACTGTAATTAGAGGCTTACCAAGACAAAAGTAAGCACCAGGTGCAATATGACAGACTCAGGCAGTAACATAAAACACGTCCATTAATTCCAGCCTAGTTACGTTAAGAGTAATTTGGGTTCTTGTACAACACAGCAGATTTCTTACGAGAGCCACCAGCATGTTGCATGAACATACCACAAATCTAATCCAATCAGCTTCAAAGAGAAGGAACATTTCATAACTGCAAAAACCCTGTTTAGAAACAGTCCAACACTGAAAGAAATTTGAACGAACAAATGATGAATTCTTAACATGCCAGGCCAGGCTTCACCTTTGATACACGTACAAAATGACGCACGATAATTGAAAACATTTCTTCGAACACATTGGATTAAATGACATAAAAGTGCCGGTATCCTCTCGATAGACACGACCTGCAGTAACACAACAACAGCACAACGTGGTGGTGTACTTTAGAAGACTCAGCTAGGCTTGAGGCTTGCGTACATCAATGCTAATTTTTTTTTTGTCTTGTGGTTGGACTGCTGGCGACAGAAGACAGAGGAAGCATCTGTCTTACAGGCCATGTTGAACAGACTGGAGTGGCCTGGACATGGCTCAAGGCTTCTCAGGCCAACCCAGTCTGTCAAACCAGTCTCTGTGGAGCGTTGCCAAGAGCAGAAAGCTCCCTTTTAGCCAGGACCCCCAGCAAGGACATGGACGCTCCACCTCTAGTACAGCGAGCCAACCACCCGAGAGAACACAGTGGATTTACTGGTAAGGGTTCTGGAGTTTCAAGTACTGAAAAAGAATACAAAACATTTTATTTCCCCTTTCTCCTTGAGAAAAATGACCATATAATTACACAAATGACAAACTTTGCCAAACCATTTTCAACAAAACCATATTTTCGACACATGCTCCAAATAAGCATTTTGAAAGTTGCAATTCTAAATGACCAGCATTACAAAAAAAAAAGATGCAAGTGACAACAACACCCCCCCCCCCAACTTCCTAAATGTTTTTTTAACGGATTACACACATACATTTTCTAAGTCCATTTGTAACATTATGTGGGCCGAATTAACTTAGAACCCCTTTCAAAATACTTCAAGTAGATGTGAGTTATCAGTGAGATTAAGAATTTCATTAAGAAGCACATTCAGAACAAATGCAAAATACAAAAACTAAAACTGAAAGGATTGATGAAAGAATACTTGTTCTTATAAATGATTGTGTATTGGCTGTAAAGTCCCCTCTACACAATTTACTGTATATCCCTCTCTCTTTCAGCATTACATTGCATTCGCTCACTTTTGTTTTGATGTTCTCAAGTAAAGACTGCCCTGGCCACTTTTCCCACAGTCACATTCTGCAAAGTAAGCCTTTTCAGGACAGTTGACTCTTATACTGACATCATCAAAACATAGAAAAAGCCATTTTGTGTACATGAACAAACCCCCTACCTGGATGACCAAGGAAGGCCCTCTTGCCACAATATCCGCCGGGATCTGACTGAGCGGACAGTTCTCTATAGACATGATTTGTAGGTTGGAACAGTAGGCCAGTTCAACTGGCAGGCTGTGCAAGTCTGGATTGTCATTTATGTACAGCGACTCCAATGACTGAAGGGCACCTGAGAGAACAAGTCAAATAGTGGTGGTCCCGGCAATCTTATTGTTAAAACAATGAGTTCATCACAAAGTGCCAATATCAAAAATACTTCCATTAACCTTTTCGCTTCATTACATGCCACATTCTCCTATAGATTAAAAAAACCCCAACTATAGCCCAAAGCAAAATGAAGTGTTATTGGATACCTAAATCTAGCGCTAGCACACTAGTTCTGGAACAAGACAATGAGCAAATAGTCAGTGGACAGTGATGATGACGGAATGGGAGGTAGCAGTGATTGGGAATGCTGATATTAAGAAACAGAGACTGATGTAGAAATACAGCAGGAAGAATAAAGAGGAGTAGAAGGTGATGTAATGCCAAGGGAGCAAAGAAAAAAGATTTTAAAAACTTCCCCGGCATTCCCCAGTTTACTGGTAGTCCTGTAAGAGGCAAGGGAGGAATATTCTCAGGGAGTATCAGCAAGCTGATGAAGACACAACCAACCAGAAAGCAAAGCAAATCGCAAAAGGAAAAAGAAAAGAATCATAGCTTCTTGCAGCACATGTCATTCTTCCAGGATTTTCGGGTTCGGGCAGCGCCCTGGCAGGGGGTTGAAGGGGGACAGTGCCCTCCCCCCTCCCTTATGTTTGAAATTTTTTTTGTTTCAGGGCGTCCTAACTATGCCATTTCTGGCTATTCAAGCCTAAATTTAACAAGATAATAAGTGAGAAAAAACACACCTTGCATACATAATTTTCTGCTTGTGTTAATCCATATAAATCAAAGGCCATGCTTTCTCCCTTGTACCGGTACTCTTCCGGTATGGGTGGGCTATTGTTGACTATTATCAATCACAGAAAATTTTTATTTCGCTTTTTAAAAAAATTATTTACAATTTTATATTATTTTTTCACGAATTTTCACAGAAATCTTTCCATTTGCGGATATCGGCAAATTTGCAAAAACTGGAAGAACTGAAGAATGTCAGAGTGACAGCAGTGAACAGGAGAATAAAAAGACCACAAGGAAACTGACATTGTTTAGCAAAGTCAATCGGGCTACCACACGCTGCGAAATTTTGGTCCCCGTTTGCAGGTGAATTTTGGGACCGGGTTGGATTGGAAGAGCCTAACTTTCTCAAACTCGGTCTGCTCTATTTCTGGACCAGTGTGAATGAAACTTGGCAACCATTCAGAAAATTGGACAAATTAATGGTATGGAGACGCTGAAGTTTGTACACATAAATTAACCTATACTTTTGCGTCGGAAACACTTTCGTATAGGGTATACCGAAAACTACAGGGAGCTTGATTTTCAACGTCGAGAAGGAAAGAGATCTATCTTTCCTCTATAGTGTCCTCAAATTTTGAACATTCTGTGTCAAGTAGTTGTTTAGACATAATCATAAAAATCATAGCTGCCACTCAGGAATTTCAAAAAAGGAGGAAATTCACGCGAAGGTGTATACAAGGCACTAAGTTGACTAACACTAACAAACATTTGACACAGTTTGGTGACTAAAAATCCAGTGTTTGTTGCCAGCTGGTGTTTCATAAAAAGATTGCTTTCACTTTAAACTTGTGCATCGATGTAGAGCAGTAGTATTGGATCAAGGAGGCAACACCTTTGCTGCTGTACTGAATGATTTCTTTATCGCACCGAACGCATTCTGCATCAATTTCTCTCGAATTTCCGCCGTTTTCAATGACAACTCGGCACGCAATCGTCCCGATGCTCGATTGACACTGTTGTTCCACAATATGAGAAACTAGCGCTAGGCACAGAAAAATTGAAGTAGAAAGCTACGGGCGGACATGCGCAGGCAGCGTTTTCGTCTCTCTTCCGGTTCGGTGTTTTCCGCGTGTAAAAAAAAAAGTATTGCAATTTGTGACCGCGAGCGGTCCTGTGGACTAAGGAGGAAAATAGCGGGAAAAGCTAGATGAAGCGGAGTTTCCGCTATTTAGCGGAAAAGTGGCAGCTATGAAAAATGCACGACTACCCCCCTATCCAAAGTGGCTTCGCACGGAGACCGGCCATTTTCTCCTCACTCCCTTGACAAATGTATGTGACCTACAAATCCCCGCATGACTATTCCAAGCCCGTTCATTGGTCACTTGAAATAGGGCAGTAGCGGGTGCGTGCATCAGGCTGTTTTTCTTTGTTCCCCTGTAACATCACAATGGGGGTATTCTGGGCGGGGTGTTCGCGTCTCAACGGGAAAAAAAGGTTTTAAATTGTATGGCATGCTAGACTGAATTAAATTATATTTTATGGTTGGAATGGTCTAAAGTCATCGAAGAAAGTTTTGCCATTATTTAGTCACGCTGCCAACATATCCTTAAAGATTCCGTGTTGTGACACAATGCTATAAATAAAATGCTGTCATCCCGTTACCCTTTTTCGCAAAATCGTTATATGCAGACCTGATACTCTATGAAATCTAAAAATCAGGATGTTAGAGTAAAAAAATCAGGATCTGTTGAAAAAAATCGGGATCAACGGCAAATCAGTCATATGGGGTACTGGGGAAGGGGGATCCTGGTTCCCTTTTATGAGGAAAGTATGCAAGAGAAAACTTGAAAACTTTTGCAGGAATAAGTTCATGTATGGGCTACTAAATAGAGGGAAAACTGAAAGACAGCATTACTCGAGTCGGAGTGGGATAGAGTGGGGGAGCGCAGGTTGCAGTACAGCTGAAACTCTCGTAGTCTTGAAAATAGCTGACACATAACTCTAATCATCCATGCAAAAAGCCCGCGTTTTCATACAGTAACAACGTTTGACTTCCATCGCAAATACACCCAAGGCACCCCCCCCCCCCCGAAAAAAGATTGCGCCTAGGTTGTTCATTTATTTCTTTTTTCTTAAATTCCTTTATCCTCAATTAGTAGGTTCTACTTGTATCACGGCACGCACTTTAAGCCCAAAGTGTCAAAACAATACCCCCACCCGCTCCCCCCGGTTATCCTGGTTAAGTCTAAAAAAACCCACCCCGACCAATGCGACCGGTGTGAATGAACTTTGCTGACCCCGACAGCCAACGGTCCCCGACACATGCGCTACTCACACGTACGAGGTCATGTCACGTGTTGCGAATGAGCGTTTGAAAGTTACACTGACGGGTCTTGATGATGGGCCCGACTAACCAGAACTCAAGACGAAGCTTGCTTTTAAACCAATGGCAGAACAACAAATAGATTATTCTTAGGCCCATGTCATAATTGTTACAGTAATCAGGACGCAGTCGGAGAATTCTGGGTTATAAAAGCGAAAGTAAATCTTGAGCGTATCCATGTCGGAATTCAAAATCGATACCACGTCGGTTTTAGTTGAAATAACGTGCGTGAGTCATCTACTAGATTTGGCAGAGATGCTTCAGAAAGTAGCGTTCCAAGTTCCTGCCGATGAAAAATCTAATCGGTGCTTCCAAGCAAAAGAGATTGCACAACTTTTAATATTCTTTCTAAGAATTGGACGCAACTGATGCAACAACAAAAAATCAGGATACTGGCGATCGAAATCGGGAAAATCAGGATGCTTGAGATTTGGGGTAAAAAATCGGGATATCCCGATTAAATCGGGATGAGTGGCAGGTCTGTAATATGTACAGCAAAATTTTAATTATAACAAAATAACTACAAAATGGTTAGTAAATCTGACTGCAGAAATGATTTCTCCACCCAAAAACACATTGGGAAGCCAAGTTTCTTTCTAACATTCCATTTAATTACTGAGATATCATCTATTTTCTTAGAGAATCTGCTATTGTGTGGTCCACTTTTAGAAGTATTTTTCTATTATATTATGTGTGTGTGCCTGGTGAAAGGGACCACATGTCGCATTTTCTCAAACCGAGATATCAGGCTTCAAAGGTCAAAAATAGAATTTTTGACAAAAACTAAGTTCCATTAAAAATGGATTTTTCAGCCATTTATTTATTGATATTTACAAGGATTTGGGCGATTTTGACTTTAAAATACATTTTAAAAGGTGTTTTTTAACCCGAGGTATATTGCATAATCTCAAAAAATGCGTGAGGAAACTGGCTTTCAGGGTAAACACTGCAGATGGTTTCTCTTGTCCATTCATAAAGTCGACCCAATCACATTGCATACTAAAATTTAGGTCATTCTCTCTGCTCTCCAATGGCAGGTAGTGCGCATGAATATCTAGAACATGTAAACAAAGCGAAACTTTGCGCATCCATACCCTTTTGTTTCTTTGGAGAGCAAACTTGTATCGCCTATTTCTGCCCTGTGCAAACCGTATTTCTTGAAATTCCTGTTCAATGTGGTGGTGAATTTGTTTTGAAGACGTAATATAAACACTTTGAAGCTGTTCTTTTATTGTAGAGCTGCTTTTTAAAGTTAGTTTGTGAGAAGCGACTGTGTTGTCAGGTCGTCTCGAAGCACAACAACACGGCGGAGCTGCCAGCTGTTACTACTACCGGTACTGTTAGTAGTAGATCTAGTACTAAATCTAGATCTAGATCTAGATCTAGTACTGCTATTCGTGAGCAGGAAATTGTGTCTATTCTCAATTCTCTTAGACGCATTGGAATGTCAGAATGGCAACTGAAGAAGACATTAGAGATGTACTATGCGATTATTTCGTTTCTGACGTCGATTTGGGAGAAGAGGAAGAAGATGAGTTCGATCTGTGGTGCCATCGCCGGTTTCAGACCCCGCACTTGAAGCAGAACCGAGCGAAGCAGGTAAAGATTAACAACAACAAAAACAACAGTGATAACAGAAATAGATTTAGATTTAGCAAACTAATAATTATTTATTATAATGATAATTAATAGTAATAATTATCTTTACGCTGTTCTTTCTTGATAAACCTAGATCTAGATCTAGATCTAGTTTAGATCTAGCTTACTGAAACTTACTCATAGTAGATCTAGTGCATTTTTGTTTTCTTAATTCTAAATGTATGCAGAACAAAATTTCATTTATTCCTGGGAGAGTCTGGGTTCTAAGATCTGGATATGTGGCAATCTTGTTAAGTGGGTAAGGAACAAAAAGTTTTCCTCTGACCCTGATGATTGATAGTGTTAAGTTCCCTAGTTACTCTGGTGAAGATACTTTTTTTTTGCCTGTGTGTGTTGCAGGAGATGAAGGGGGAGGGAGGGGGGTATCAAGTTTTTAAACAAAACAATAATAATTATGAACATGATTTAACAACATTATATTTCAGCAACAGCAAAACCTTTTTACTAGAATGGTGACTTATGAAAAAAGGGTGTTCTGTTTTTGTTTTTTCTGCAGAAACAAAGGTGAAACTTTAGAGCCGTTTTTCTCAAAACTTTGTTTCCGTACCCTGCCTTACAAAATCGCCAATATCTAAAAAACTACTGAAGATATCTTCAAAATTTAAAAAGCACATTGTCCAGAAATGAATTCTGTACAAGAAAATGCCAAAAAACGGGGATTTTTCAAAATGCGACATGTGGTCCCTTTCACCAGGCACACACACATATGTGGGTCATCCATATTTTGCCGACCTTTACAACCCCCATACTTGTAAATGGCCAATCAAAGAATTGTCTGAACTCATCGATGTGAATATCATAAAACGCAAAAACTGACAAAAGACACATAGTGCGAATACAGTTGACATATATATAGTGACACATACTGGTAATAACAGTAATATAAGAAAAAAAATGCCTGAAAATAAAAATGAAATGAAATTAACTCACCCAAAATAAATCTACTTTATACAGTAATGATTGGGGGGGGGGGCTTGCTTTCAACTGCCTTTAAATCGCTGTTGCGATCCACAAAAGCAAGGCCTGCCATACTGGACATGGAGATCTATCTAGATCTAGATCTATAATCTAGATCTAGATCTAGCCTTTAAGAGGCTATAAATTATAAAACGCGAGTTCAAAAAAGTAGATTTCTACTACACTTGCGTTAAACTAACACCAAAATACGGTAACCTATGGATAACACACTCACAATAATATAATAGAACATAATCCAAATAGAAAATCAAATGTATCAAAGTTAAAATTCCACAAAAATCATAAATCAACTCAACAGGCCATCCTATTCGAACGAACAATGGAGAGAGAATGAGAAAGAATCAGATTTCAATTCGTCGAAGACTCGCCCTCGGCCTGTACTCCGTACAGTACGCAAGAATTATCTTTCGCATTATTCTCCGCAACAATTGAATTAAAAAAGTTCCGCCAAACATTTTGGCAAATACAAAGAAACATAAGGGTCGGAAAAAGAGTGTCTGAATGGAGCTAACGAGAGCCGTCAGCGATGGCGGACGCAAGTGAGAGGCGCATGCGCGAGGCGAACAGGGCTCGGCGGCTCAGCACATCGTCTGTCGGCCGATCGATAAATCTATTTTTAGACGCAGCGCTGGTGGGTGAAACAGATTCACGCGATGGTTTTCTATCAAAATTTCTGAGCGGCGTTTGGTTACCTTGAAAAAGGGAGATTTTACGATTGGCGGATACGATTGGCGGATTTCCGACTATTGGCGGTAGATTTACAGGTATGAACCCCCTAACTTTTTTTTATTTATGAACCTATTTTTCAAATTCCAAAAGCATAATTCTTAGAATTGAAGACTCTTTCTTAGGTACAAAATAATAAAGGCCTAAAGCAAAAAATTAATTTAATTTTCATTGGCTTTTCTACATTGTTCACGAGTCCGGGCAGCATACCTGGATTTTGTATAGAACGTTTTTGAGGTGTATACGTGACAAACGACCAGACATTGAACAGTGTTAACAATAAAATTCATGTGACACCATCAACACTGACTTACCAATTTCTACTGGCAGAGATGTAAGATTGTTTTCCCCGGCACCAAGATATGTCAAATTCTTCAGAAATCTGCAGATTCAGTAAATTGTAAGTTAGAAAACCATAACCAAAGAATGAGAATATAGAACATATTCTCTTAAAATACAAGGACAATAAATTCCAATGTTATTTAATTCTGCAGAAATGATGCAGCCTTTCTGGTCCCTTTTTTTTTTTACGTTACCATTCTTTAAATAGTTTTTTCCCCAAATATTTTCATATAAAACATAACATTTCCACGATGTGGATATGGCCTTTTATTAATCAGAGAATAATCATGTTCCTATGCACTTGACATACTTTAGAAACTAATTCGCTGAGTAATATTATGTCTTATTGTTCAAATAAAAGTATTTGCCTCACATAAATGAATTCTGCAGTCTATATTTACTTTGTGACCCATGGTACAAAATGTTTCGACAAAACATGTTTTTCGACCCAAAGCAAGAGTCTGTTGCCCCATCAACAGTTTTATCTTCACTATGACAACCTGTCCGAGTTCTTCAATTTACCCTTTAGAAGTAAAACACAAAAGCAAGGAGCAAATATTGCAAAAATACAGCAAAATAAAACGTTACAAAATATAAAGTTAGCTGAATTGTTCACAATGTCACAGCCTTAAAGTAACAACTAGTGTCCTATTGCAAAGAAACAATGAGTGAGTGTCCATAAAGGGTAACTTGCGTTTACAAAAAGAAAGGCTTGAAATCCCTTGGGTAGAAATATTATGCACATTATGCTTATACAAAACAAAAAAAACAAAAATAAAACAGGCCCAATACACATAGCAAAATTGTAGAACTTGGACAGACGGATATGACATATCTGTCATGACAAACAATAAGGAGAGGTAGAAAATTTCACCGACCTGCAGGGTAAAATTCTGTCAATACTCACCCAATAGATCTTGGCAGGGAGACCAAGTGGTTGGACTGGACAATTAACTTTGTTAAGTCTTGTAAATGACCTGGGAAGGAAAAACACAAATTTACAGGGCATTCACTTCATTTGATGTCAAACATAGGAAGGGCAAGGGCTAAAAAATATAAAAGATGAATTCTACATGACAAGCAAATCCAGTGGTCAATTAATTAAGCAAACAAATAAAATTAATTAAAACCAAATACACTGCAGAATTTTAGTAATCTGCATATATACTGGTGCACTTGTTTGAGCAGAACTATTTCTAAGATCCACCATCAGAAAATTTTGAATTATTTCTCATAAAGTATTTTCAAGTTTTCAGAATTCCTTTACATTATCAGCGCCCCTGTTAAGCAAAAGATTTCATTACAACAACATTTCATTCTTAACTTACACATTACTGAAACTATCTTCGACCACTCATCATGCTCACTTAGAACAGACTTAACTCTTTCAGTGTCAGAATCCCAAGCATCATTTTAGTAAATTTCGTAACCCATACGCTGAAGGGGTACTAACTATTCATATTTGTCTTACTGTAAAAATAACATACGACTGAAAAAAAACTGAATTATGCAAATCAAAAGGTCATTTTGTTTCTTGAGGTTCCTTCACTTTTTAATGTTTTTGAATGTTCACAACAAAAATTAAGCAGTAGAACACTGTGCTTAATCCAGAGGGTTGACAGTGGGCTTAATAAGTGAGGCTGAGAGACTTCTGTACGGAGTCTAAAGGTTTGAACCTCTTTGCCAATGGTAGTGATCACCAAAATTTTATTTCTGTGTACCATCTTCAACCAATCGTTTAAAAGAACTTTGACCGTCAGACATTTTACTGTAACTAAGAGATTCATCAGATTCTGTTGTTGCTGATACTCAGAAAGTTCCGTTAAATAACTGAGTTCATTTCAAATTTCATATTACTTACCTATTTCGTGTGGCAAAGATTCTAACCTATTTTCCTCTAAGTCTAATACCCGAAGTTTTTTCAAGTTCCCTATGTTTGGCGGCAGGCGCTGAAAAATCGAGAAAAAGACAAGACATTGATGATGATGAACACAGTCATGGTTTAAATGAAAATTCACCCCAGGAAGAATTAGACACCATCAAATACAAGAAAAGAATTTCAATATAAAAAGCGTCTATATTAAGAACTTTCATAATAGTTTCCATTATTGCTTCTCAACGGCCCTCTTTTTCAATCTGTTCAAACATCCACACGTTATTAACTCTGTTTACAACATATCTGTGCTAGACAAATCAGTCTTAATAGCAAAATGCTTTTTAAAAAAAGGACAAAAAGGACGAAATTTTGTAGAACATTTGCATTTCTGATAAATCTGCCAATATAGTGTCTTTTTTAGGACACAGACTAGAGGGTAAGGGAAAGAATGGAGGGGACCACACAGAGTTAGATAGTCTGGGAAAAGTCAAAAAGGAAGAAAACATTCTGCTGCCCCTGAAGATTATCACAATTAATAAATAACAAGGTAGAATGGCAACAAATGAAAACTAATAACTTCACCTGCCAAAACATTGTCCTGACTCCAAATTTCTTGTACTTTTTTACTACACAGAAAAGCACGCAAATGCCCTAGGGAAGACAATCTTCCATAGACTGTTGCACTTTTACAAAAGCGAAGTTAATTTGTAAAGACCCCCATCCAAAGCAATAGAAAAAACAAAAAAGCCACAGAATCTGACTGTAACAAAAACTAGTCACAACTAAGATGATAAACAGCTCCAAAAAATGCAGCTAACTGTTCCCTTGCATTCTGTACACTCACCCTGAGAGTATTGTTGCTGAGACTAAGGACCTCCAGCTTCTGCAGCTGGTGAATGTCATCTGGAATCTTGGTCAGCTGATTTGTTCCCAGGCTCAGCTCCACCATGTTCTGCCAGGTGCCCATGTCTGTCAGGACACATAAATGTAGCCGCAATTATTTATGTTTCAATTGAAAGAAAGAAGACAAAAGTCAAATCCACCCCATAAAAGCAAAATCGTAAAGTTAAATTGCTCATTTATAGTTCTGTGCCTGACACAACTGAAAGCTCACTCAACAATATCTCCTTTGTTCATTCCATTAGAACACTCAGTCTAAACTGGACATACAGCATGGAACAAAATCATTTACACACTTTCCTACAAAAGGAAATCTGCCCATTTACAGCCAGTAAAATTGTGGATATTAAATGTAAACAACCTTCAAAAGTATTCAACGCCCTATCTAGCCCTTTGACAAAGTATGATTGCCAGCATGCTGTCTTAACTCATTCGCTACGCTGAGTCGTGGCTTAAGTGACTTCACTACGGCAAGCTGTCCCCCATGGCTCGAGAACCGACCAAAAATTCTAGCTTAAATTTTATTCCAATCCACATATCCAAGTTAAAATAAAGGTTATAATATAATGTCGACTTCCGGGTCAAGCGTTTCCATCGAAAATCCTAAACTTTGCTTCAGAATTGAAACACGATTTCGAAGTTTATAGTACTGTTTTATCGCGATGCCCAAATTATAGCCCAGATACCAGTCTGAGTACTTTTACAAAGCAAAACGTATCATTATTTTGTTTACTAAAGAAATGTCGCGCTCTTCTTCAGAGTAATGAAATTATATTCGTAAAATAGACTCAAATTGCCATCGCTTTGTTACTGAGAAATCAGTATTTTTCAGATCTAGATTTAAATTGTCAAAATATTATTTTCTACCCTAAATCCCAAATTTTAAAAAGGAAAATAACACAAAAGATACAACTCAAGACATGTGTAGTTTTATTCCAAATGCAATTCTGAATAATTCCTTACAAGATAATACGATACGCGTGTTCTGTACTACTTTTGAATGTATCTTGCACTTTTTTCTAAATTTTGATGAAAAAAAATTGTTTTTCAAAATTGGAGGTTATGATCCAAATGTATAAATTAAGCGGAATGTATGAAAATAACAGCAAATTTTTCAATATTTTCCAGTTCAATATTCATTTATGGTTATTTTGACATATCATTTGACTAGATGCAAACAATTTTATTTTTTAATTTTCACCAAAGATGATAAATTTTTTATTTTCAAATATCATCACCATTCAAGCAAAATTGTGTTGCATAACATGTGAACTGTCATCATCTCATTTCGCCCTCCCGAAAAAAATTAATATACAAGCCCAAAATAACATGTAGCGAATGAGTTAACTGCAAGGCTAAGGTGACTTGAAGAGATTTTAATACTTTTAAGTCAAAAGACACCAGCAGAAAAACATCTATAAACCTCCTCTGCTGGACTGCAGGGCAATGGGACATCAGTTTTTAAGTAGCATAACACTACACACAGTTACACAAGATGTTTTTCTCCTTGGCACATTTTTGTTGCACTGAACTGACAAAAATAATACCATCACACTAATTCCACGATTGCCGAAGTTAATTTCGGAGTAATTTAATGATAGCAACATACCCAAAGGCAGAGCTGACAGCTGATTGTCTTTCATATTCAGTTTGGTGAGGTGACTTGCATGCAAGAAAATCCCAAGAGGAATGTTGTTCACTTGATTGTGCTCCATGTTTAAGGACTGCCAGACAGAAAAAGAAAAAGATTATAATTTGGCACCAGTCTGCATACAGTTGAAAAAGACAGGCTCTGTGGTTAACATGAAAACCCACAACAAGAAGGACCAGAAAACAAGTTTCTGCCTCCAAACACAGTACATACCGCTGATTTGCTACCAGAACAAGGGAGATCCAGAGAACACACCCTGTGTGGGTGTGGGAGACTCAATAAGTCATTGACTAATAACAATTTTGGTTGAATAACCATTGAACTGAAGGGTATCTAAAAAAAAAGCCTTACTGTCCATACTTATTCAAAGATTCAAATAAAATGTAAATGTCCTTCAGTATATTAACAAATAAAAGATTATTTTAACAGAAACATAATTTCAAAATAAGTTTAGGAGTTATGAGTTCTTAATATCACCTTTTTTTTTTCCTCACATGTTTTCATGCTTAATTTCATTTATCAATGAATATCAATAAAATTTTGAGAAGAGAACAATGAAATAATATACTTTTAACTCACTCAATCCCGTGACTGCGTTCAATCCCATGGCCGAGATAACTCAGTTTTATAGTTTTGTTCTGTATACTAGATGTTTCGTTTCGCAAAACGGCCTCAAGTTTTATATAAGGTTAACTTATTATTTCCCCAGCCAATACTGCCTAGAGGGGTGCTGGAACTTTGTTTCTACTGTCGTAACACACAGAGAAATGGCGATTTTTATGAAAGCACATTTAGCACTTTGGTTCACACTGATCAACTCAGCATGTCTCGCAATTGATTCTCTCTGGCTTTCTCACACATACATTTTTTTTATTGATGAAAGTATTCAACAGTCTTTATCATACATGACATACAATATATAGATCTAGACACTCACAAGCATATTTGAATATCAATGTAGGCTTGCTCTCGTTCATTCGGCCATGGGAAAAAAAAGAGGCCCGTAAAAATGCCAAATTTGTACAACACCCCAAAGCAAAACTACTAAAGCTACATACTTCAAATTTGGAATGTCTAAAGATCCATCTTCAGTTGTACTTTGTGCCAAATTTCAAAGCAATTGGATTATATTTAAGGTTATTAGTGGGTCCTTACATAACTGCCAAAATGACCGGTATCTAGGTACACTTTCAGGAAAAAGCTCTCTGGACTGAGTGAGTTAGCAGTCCCAATATCTCTACCTTGAGATGAAGAGGCAGAAACATAATAGCTGATACAGAAAAGAAAATGTTAATACTATATAAAAAAAGCAAATTAACTTACATATACAGAGCAAAATTGAGAAGGTCCTCCAGTAGGATACTTCTCAAATTTGTTTCTTGACAGTGTGATGACATTCAGCTGTGTGAGACTTGACAGAAGGCCCTCCTAAGGACAAGAGCAAAAAGTCAGTACTCATTAATGTTACTTCGTATAGTTTTCCATCGCACAAATATGTTCCTCAGCACAAGAAAAAAAATCCTTTCAAAAAATGACTTGCAGTCAAAATGTTACTGAACTGTGGTCACATATGGTAACCATTTACTGTTTTATTTCCCTATGAAGAGGCGATGTAAATCATAATCAACAAAACAGATAGAAGAAGCAAAACCACACTAAAGTATGCACAAGGGCTCTCGTGGCTTAAAGGTTAAGGTGTTCGCCTCTCATTCAAAGGTCCCAGGTTCGAATCCGGGTAGCTATCGAAAAAATTTCTTCTCTAAAATCGTCTCCTTTCACCTCCTTTCCTGCTCTCAATGTTCTGTCCTCTGCTTTCGTCTCCACTTTCTGCCCGAAACCTCTCACCTCCTTTGCCCCCACCTCTGGGCTCCTGACTCTTTCTGCAGCCTATATACTACTACTCCTTGGCTCCTTCTTACTGCTGTCTTTCAGCCACACCCCTGATCTGGTAGGAAAGATCTACACCTAGCCTTCTTGGACAAGGGCGAAAAATCTCGCAGGTCCCGTGTGCAAGTTGTGCATGGTAAAGATCCCTTGGTGGTCTAAAATCGATCAGAGAAGGCTTCGGCCGCCACCCAGGCAAAATTCAAAATTTCCTCCCAACTGCAAAACGTTTATAGTGTCCCGTGCGCTCATATGACCGTATGCAGTTGCGGGCGCCATAAAACTTACCCCCAAAAAAGTATGCACCAACCACCCATAAATCTGAACAATATACATTTTCCAAAACAGGTGCTGGCATGTTCTTCTTGCAGCGCCTACGACACAACAAGAAATTTATTAAAAATAAAGGACCCTTCAAAAATATGAAAGATGAGTATTCATGGAAACCATCTAAATGTCATCCACAGCATATCGGCTTTGCCTGCCAACACTAGTCATCTCACAAAAAGTTTAAGGCCACACACGGGTTTTTGGGGTCCAGTTTGGGCCCATACAATGTTTTTTGGGTTTAAAGATACTTCCCTAGAAAATTATGAGCTAAATTGAATGGAAGTACTCCCAAAGTCTTATTTCAAAGCGATAACTCAATAAATTTTGAACATTGTGAGCCAATGCAATGCTTTAAAGCAATTTTGCGACGTTTTTGCTCCTTTCCTCAGAATAGTAATTTCTTGGCTTTAAAGCTAAAAACTCAAAATCCATTCAAGATAAAGACATGAAATTTGGAGGGTAGGTGCCCTATGCAATTCCAAATAAAATGACGCTACCTTTTTCTAATTCTTGAAAAAAAAAAATTTCAAATGATATTTTCACTTTGCTATTTTGACTATTTTTGTCATCCACTAAAATGCAAGTCTTCTAAAAATGATAATAAAATTATTTACAAAGTCAAGAAAAGCTAGCGTCATTTTCTTAAGATTTGTGTGCAGATTACAAAAATGTAATTAGTTCATCTTCTATATGGCTGTGAATGCTGGACAACCACTAAAGACAGTCAAAATAAAATAGAAGCAACAGAAATGTGGTTTCTTAGGAATCTGCTAAGAGTATCGTGGAAGGAAAAGAAATCAAATGAGGCAGTGCTTGATGAAGCCCACGAGGGACGCTCAATGTTAAAAACAATCAGGAAACGATAAATGCAGTTTTTGGGACACCTGCATAGACATAAGGGTCTTGAACATCTAGCTCTCACTGGCAAAATTGAGGGCAAGTGAGGCAGGGGAAGGCCCAGAACAACATACTTAGGGAACCTAAACAAATGGGTAACAGGGAAAGATCAGGGAAACGTAGCTTTTTTGAGAGCATCTGAACAAAGGAATAAATGGAAAACCATGATCGTCGATGTCTGTCGCAGATCTGGCACAGGATGATGAATTAGTTCATAGATAGCATGGCTTCGTTTTTGAATTTTTAGCTTTTGAAAATGGTCCTTCAAATAGCCCGGTTTCACCCTGTGATTATGTAGTCCCCCCCCCCCCCCAGCAGAATATTTGACACCACCTCTATAAGACCATCGGTAACCACACTCACAGGTAGTGATGATATGTTATTTCCTTCTACATTGAATTCATCCATATTTATGCAGTTGGCAAGGGTGCCTGGAATCACACTGAGCCGATTGTATCTGAAATAAAAAAAGGGAAAGTACAAATTACTCCTATGAAAAGGCTTCTTCAAAACTCCTTTTAACCCAAAAAACCCCCCCCACAATTTCATCAATCTACAAAACCTGCCAAAGTGACAAATAATTGTTGTGGATAGGAAAAAAGATTGAAATTCTCAATAAGCTCTGAAAAATAAAAAGAGGGCTTGAACATTGAATACCAGAAAAAAATACAGTTGAGATGGTCAAGGATGGCCATTCGCCATGGAGGAGAAAAGTGGACCTCTTAAACAGTGTTATTATAATATTTAAAAAATGAAAGACGTGGGTGGGGGTGGGGCAATTGTCTTATACAGGTGACAGAGCAGGTTCAACCATATCATAGAACAACATAGCCCTTTATTTCCCTCAAAACAAATGTGATACAGCGAGATGGACACTTATTCATATGGTAGGGTCTGTATAATAAAGCAAGATAAAAAGTTGAGCTGGCCGACATACTTGCATCAATATGGAAATCGACTTGACTAATCGTAGCTCAACATTACATGGTTCCCTTGAACAATCGAACAAAGCCAACAATAATTAAGTATCATAGAGCAGCTGCCTTTATTACAATGAAAGATGAGTACAGCGCAGATACTTTGGACTGTTCTGTAGAAAGGAAATAAAAAAACTTAGGAGCTTGAAGAATTTCAGTCATAACTATGATTAGTATCAATACGGCCTGAATAAATGTGTCACAACGTTGTGGAATCAGGCGCTCGTCAATTTTCGAGCATGCGGAGTTATTGATATCATCTGAAAGCTTATTCATTTGCCTGGTTTTCAAAGAAGTAAGTATCCATCTGGCTTGAATAGAAGTAGAGATTTTTGCGATTGAAGAAGGTATAGTAGCCTGGTTTCAGAGGTTAAATTAATGAGAAAATGGCCACCAAAGTTTGGTGACTTCATAGCTTAAGAGTCCTTGAAAACTGAAAATTACATATTTTATGCCTTTCTACAAGGTTTTTCCAGTAAAATTCACCTGGAAATGTGTTTTCATATGAACATAAAAGTTGTTTAGCCAAAAAGCAAAATTTTGATAAAAACTACCAAACCGGAGGAAAAATTATTTTTTCTTCGATTTCATTATTTTGACGAGCGCCTGATTTCACCATGATGCCTCACAAATTTTTTCCAGCATGGTATGTAATTATCTCAAAAGATATTTACCCTTAAATCAGAATTGCCATCAACCAAAAAAGATAGAAAAACATAAGCAGAGCATCATCAATTCAGACAAAATATCCCCAATGACCATCCCCACAACTTTTCTACAAAATCAGCCTGGTGTCAGATTAAAGTTTAAAAACATTCAGCCACAAAAATCATGTAAAAACACATTACTCACTTGAGTCCAAGTCTAGCTAACTGTGTGAGGTTACCAATGGAGTCAGGGATGTCAAGAAGTTCATTGTGCTGCAGGTCAAGGGAGTTCAGCATGACACACTTGCCAATGTCTGAAAAGGGACAGCAACAATTTCATACGGTATTTCACCCTGTTTGATGCAAGTCTTCCCCAACACAAACAATTTTAGCACATAAGCATGCGGAAAGGGAGGAGAGGGAGAGAGAGAGAGGGAAAGGGAGAGGAAAAGAGAGGGGGGGGGAGGGGGACTGGAGGGAAAGAGAAAGAGAGAGGATATCTCAATTACACTTCTAGAGGGCACTGTGCAAGTCTACAGTTTTTAAAAAAAAGGACAGTACATTATTACACCCCCAAAAAGAAGAACTTTCACCGCAGCCATGTCATATAGATCCTTAAGTGTAGAGGTGAAAATAGCTCTAAAGGGGCTTTGTGAGAACAAAGAGGTTGACAAATAAAAGACAGCATTTGACCGCTATACCCTTGCAATAACTGAAAAACTGACAACAAAAATTAATAACCAGCTTATGAAAAATAATACACAAAAACCAACAAAAAATCACTCTGTCATGGTCTTAGTCCAGACTTACCATCAGGCAAATGTTCTAGATGATTATGCGAAATGTCAAAAATCACAAGTTTTTCCAGCTTCCCGATTCCTTTTGGCAGCTCCTTGATTTTGTTTTCCCTTAGGCTAAATCGAGTCAAATTCTGAGGAAAGATAGAGGACTTGCATGTAAAGAAGTCAGATGAAGCAATACTTGTTGATAAAAATTAACAGATATTGACAAATTTAAGTCATTTCAACATAGTAAGCATTAAACTGAGGATGGGAGAGAGGAAAGAGTTCAGACAAAAAACACTGGTCATTGTACAGAGAACTGACATGACACTATGTTAATCTTATATAGTCACGAGAAGCAACGAAACAGATTTAAAAGATAGAAAGATCAAATCAAATTACCATATAATCTACCAGGCATACCCTCCCAACCACTCATAAAAATGGCAGTATTTACCAATGGTAACCCCGGACCATATGACATCTCACACAATGCTAAAACTATTTTTAAAGAAACAACAGACAAACCCAAAATATCTATAAAAGTAAACTTACAGTTAAGTTACTAATCTCTTCATCCACCACACGAATTCTGTTAAATCTAAGGAACAATGTAGTTAATGACCTCAGCTGATACACAACTTTTGGGATCTGAAACAAACAAAAAGCAGCAATTCATTCAAATGGGACTCAATGAAACGGAACATAAAGCACATGAAAACACAACTGATGGCAACCTATATGTTTGTAACCAAACCATTACTTCCTATCAAGTCAGCAGTGCCCCCCCCCCCCCCCCCCCATCCCAAAGCACTAACTTATCCAAGTAAAGCAACCTGAGGTTTCAAAATGAACAATAAAATTGTTAAAGGGGTATGAACAGTTATTACAACAAATACGAAGAACCAGAAAGGTACAAATTACAAATTCCCTAAACTAAAAATAACGAGAATTATGGAAATATGGATAAAGTTTTTTCAGGACATAACATAATATATTACCCCCATAAAGTCAGAAGGCAAAAACCAAGTTTGAAAGAATAACTGATTTAAAGGCTTCACCCGAAATAAAAAAATTCTTTAAAAAATTAAAACATAGGAAAAAGCAGAACTTTACCTCTTGAAGTTTGTTATGCCTCAGATCTAGCACTCTCAGCTTTGTCAAGGCTACAAAGGTTTCTGGGAGGCTTGATATAGAGTTCTCATTCAAGGCCAACGTCATGAGACCAGTGAGGGAGCCCATCTCTGCAGGCAGCTGAGTCAGCCGGTTACTGTACAGGTACAGCTCACTCAGTTGTGTCAGCTCTTTCACACTTGTAGGCAAGTGAGAAATCTGTATTTCAAATAAGTTTTGACAAATGAGCCCCAGATATTTTTAAAAGGATAAAATAATTACAGCTCTTACAACCTTTTAACACAATTTAGATTCTCTTTTATACGAGTTATGAAGAAATTCAGCTATCTAAAACTTTCAGTGTCAAGTCATCATGTTCTCACATCTAATACAAAATGGTTAATACCTGTTTTTCCGAAGCAGCGTCCATTTTGGGCTGACTGTTCCTGTGTAGCAGTATAAATGACTTCGGGATGTAATTTACCTTCTATTCATTTTTTATAAACGCAATTCAGCTTACAAAACTCAGCACTGCAACTCTAAGACAACAAGAAAACTTTGTATCAAGAAGATTAATAAGTAAACCTCATACATAACAGTCACAAGCAAAACTAGAACAATTCTTATCAAACTGACTAGTGCTTTAAAGCGCAAATTGCGGTTTTACGAAATTATAAAAATGACAAAACATGAGTCTGTATTTTTTTAAGTTAAAAAATAATTTGAAATTAATTAATAGTCACACGCAGATTTACCTGAGATTTACTAAGATCAAGCCTAGTAGCTCCCTCCTCCTTGCATTTCTTGAACTCTTTGGCAACATCCTGTAGATTACCAAAGATTGATTCAAATCTTTTTTTTAAAAATGGCAACTCTTTTGACACTACTTTTCACACATGCACAATAAATTGAATTTTTTCAGTCTTGAAAGAAAGTCTTTAGCAGCACAGCAATCTACTTGGACATGAAATATGCTAAAGTATCTTTTAACAGTTTTAAAGATTTCTTGTTTGAAGTGAAGTCGAGATAAATATCCTGCCTTTTCCACCATCTGTAAAAGGTTATCTATCCTTCTACACACTTTGGTGATCACATACTTAATCTATAGCAAGAAAATTATAACAAATAAATTCAGTTTAGCTTTCATACTGCGTTTCACTGCTTAGTTCTGTGGGCAAGTAAAATTTAAACTGAAAGAATAAAACTCAAATCTAGGCATGTGGTTAGAGAATATATCTAGAAGGTTCTATATTTTACTACCCCTTTAATATTTGTCCAAACAGTCTCCCTCTTTCCAAGCACTAAATGATTGCAAAAACTTACTATTAGGATTATGAGTTTCCCTTTACTCATAATAAACAGGCACACCCATGCACTCTGCACTTACCAAGTCAGCCTTTACCGAAGGCCTCTGTGGAACACAAGGCTTAGCTTTGCTCTGTCCAGGCATGGTGACTGACACTTGCTTCTTCCCTGAGCCCGGGTCAATGGCCAGTGAAGACATGCTGCTCTTCTTATCATGCAGCTGCTTGAGAAAAACACAGAACAAAGAAAGATACATTTTACTACAATGGAACAATGTGTAGTACTTTGTGAAGACATGAAGACTTGGAGGGCATTAAAAAAAAAACACTTGAGAAAAATGAAAAAAAAAAAAATGAAAACAAGGTTCAAGAATGGACCAGTAGTCACAACACAAGAATTTCAATTTCTACATCAGAAACACAACATAGTCCACTTGAATATATCATTAAAATTCCTATAAAGGTCTACAACAAGAGGCATGTTTTGATTCTCTGAAGCAAGGAAACTAGATAAATTTCCTTTCTAGAAAATCCTAATTGGGTTGCCAATTGCCGTTTTGAAAGAAACCAAGTCCAACTTAGTCCTGCAGGTTATAGCTTTATACCTAGCCAAAAATACCCAACCTAAAAAAATACCAAACAACGACATTCCAGGAGTCACAACTATTAAAGTGTAAAAAAAATCTTGAACAAATCCAATCTTGGACATGAACCTCTAAGCTTTTATAGTTCTTCACTTATCTCTTTCCCAATCAGACCATGTTCCAAACTGTGACCAAGCCATTTTGGTGGCCATTTTTTTTTTCTTTTTCAATTCTGACAGTAATCAGAACCCCCCCCCATCCCCAATTTCTCCAAGATTTAGAGCAACTCTCAAATTTTATATTAAAAATACAGGAAATTAATTTCTAATCAGACAATAAAAAAAAATTTTCAAGGTAAATTGAGTTATAAAACTAAAAACTATTTTGTTCGAGTCTGAAGACTGGATCGGGAGGGATAAAAAAATGGGTAGCGATATTTCGACGGCATGCCGTCTGAAGATCGTAGTTGGTATTTCCACGACATGCTGTCTGAACATCGGAAGTGAAACCTATACGGTATGCTGTCTTGAGTCGAAAGATCGGAAATGATTTTTCGACGGCATAGGCTCTGTTTGAAGAGTATCAATGCAAGAATTGTGTTTGTTTTCCAGGCGACGAGTCGGGTGATCATACCTACCCGACCCAACCCCATCCGCAAATGGACACCCTACTGTTGAAAAAAAAGTCTTCTCTCCATTTTGCTTGCACAAAATAAATTGTGCATCTCTCACTCTCGTTACAATGACACAAAACATTTCATCATTGTCCATAATGCACAAAATGATAGCAAAGGATAAACATTGTTAACTAAACATGTATCTTAAATTGTATCTAAAATGCGTTACTTATGGAAAAGAGATTATAGGCTTAATTATAAATAGTCCGGATGTTCTGATGGGCTGAATTTAAGTGCCGTGGAATTATCACTTCCGATTTTTCGACGGCCTGCCGTATAAATATCCACTTCCTAAAAAAATTGGGGTGCTCAAGGCCATAAAGCATAGGTTGCACAAGCCTCACTTCACAGCTCACAGCTGAGAAAGTTTAATTTTCTATTTCTACATGCATTTCACTAGGCCTGTGCAATCCAAACCACAGATGCCATCAAAGTCTTCAACTGACCGGGGTTCCCACAGGTTTGAAAGTGAAATCCAAAGCAATCAAATCACTGAAAACTGTAATAAATAAGCATCAACCTAACATCAATTAAAAAAACAATACAAGATAGAAAAAATAAACTTTCCAGAAAATTAAACTAATGAAACTGCCAGTAGAAACAAGTCCAAGATAAAAAAGTAAACATCAAGTTCAAAGCACATGTATCAAAAAAAGAATCTAAGAAAGCAAACTTTAAAGTAATTGATAGTACCATACGAACATTCCTGAAGAGGCACTTTAAAAGAAATCACAGCCTGTCAGAAAATAAAAAGGATGTTCACAGAACACATTCAATGTTGATTTTGTAATAATACACTGCACCTTATTATGTATCCAATGCACAAACACCTGAAACGATTACAACGCATAGCTCAGTGACCCAAAATAGACTTTTTCTATTAAAACATAAGAGCAAAAATACAAAAATCTACAGGGCCCAGAACAAAATGAAATAGCCAAATGTTGACTTCAGACTGAAAAAAAAAATGAAACAATAAAATACCTTTTCACGATCTCCGTCCCTCAAAGACATTCCTTCAACTCCTCCCTCCAAGTCATCAAACAAAGTCTCCTGAGCAAATGCTCCACGATTGTCATACTCTGGGGAATCTGAATCAGCCAGAGACAGCGGGCCCTGCCCCACGTAGCTATCAGCACCCCTCCAGTCAGCCAATCGCTCCGCTGCAGCTGAATTTTCACGAGATTTGTTTGTTTTCCGCGACATTTTAGGAGCTAATTCACTCAAGGAGTCTTACATTCCATAGTGCACAATCAGGAAAAGTGAATAAGCACAGAAAAAATTATAGAAGAATAGTATAAAATGAACTGATCCAAGTCTAATTACTTTTTAAACAGATCACTTTGAAGTACCACTTATAAAGAACATTGATGATGAACAAGAGACTTCTAAGAACAACACAATTACCAAGACGTTCAACACCTGAAAAAGAAGAAAAAAAATTTATTAGAAGTGGTCCTTAATTTCTTTTTATTCTCTTTATGCCCACACTTGAGATCATCATGTTGGACACAGCATCCACAACATGATGCTCTACACTTAATACTGGCCATATCTGACGAACAGAGTTTAATATTTTTAACGACAACCATTAGAAGAGGGGGGGGCTTTCACACTAACAAAGCAGGCCTTTACCATTTCATAATTATGAGGCAGCGTGGTAGAATCAGGCTCTCGTCAATTTTTGGGCATGTAAAGTTATTGGTATCACCTTAAAACTTGTTCACTTGTCTTTATTTGAATGAAAAAAATATCTTTTTATCTTGAATACAAGTCGAGATATTTGCGAAAGAAGGAGGTGGGGGTCACCTGTTTTTAGAGGTAAAATTAGTGAGAAAATGGCCGCCTAAGATTAGTTATTTCCTTAGCTTAAGAGTCCGTGGTAACTGAAAATTTACATTTTTTGTTCCTTTAATCAACGTTTTTAAGAAAAATCCACACAGAAATGAGTTCTTTAATGGGCATGAAAGGTGTTGAGCCAAAAAACAAAAATTTGATAAAAGTTCACAAACCTGCGGAAAAATGCAAGTTTCTTCACTTTGATTATTTTGACGAGAGCCTGATTCCACCACGCTGCCTCACAATAGATCAACAATTCGAGACCATGGAGAAATAGAAATTAACCATATGTTTTTAACTAAGTCCATGACAGGTTATAGTTAATAGACAGTAATTGAACTTTGATGATGAGTTGGAGAGTTTCAAAGTCCAGAAACAAGAAAAACCCAACAAACAGTTGCCCACCACAGTATCATTCTCCTCTAAAAATCGCAAAGAGTAACTTTCAGGATCTGAGAGACAAAAAAGTAAGATGAAGGACGATCATTCAGTCATTCACGGGGTGTAGAAGTTTGATAAAAATCAAATTCTCAGTCCATCCATCTCCCCACCCAAGAAAAAAGGACATACACTTACACACAACTGGAGAAAGAAAGATAGAAAAAGAGAGAGAGAGAGAGAGAGAGAGAGAGAGAGAGAGAGAGAGAGAGAGAGCATGCCAATGAAGGAGCATTATTTCATAAATTTACATAAAATATCCCACTCATGTAAGAAAAATTGACGTTTATAGTGGTGAAACAAAGAATAGCTTTCTATTTCATTCAGTCTGTTAATTTCAAACTCCATAACAGTATTGCATGCTTTCACATACTTCTAAACATACCACGACCTCTAATAAGAGAAAACACTGCCTAATAATAACCATGAATACAACACAGCATTTCATAAAGCGAATGAAATCATCACGACCGCATCAGGCGAGATTCGAAAAATCAAATCGTGAATCCCACTTTTTGGACAAAATGACAATCTACAGTAAAAAAAAACATTTTTTGTATTGTTTCTAAAAAGACTAGACTTATCCATTTAGTAGGTCTTGAACGCCAAATGACTGAGAAAATCAGTTTTTCCCCTGTCCTGTAAAATCTGCTTTGTCTGGAATTCACGATTTCATCAGACTACCAACAATATATACATTATCTAAAGAGAGAAAATCATTATAATGTTTGTCAGATCTTACTATCAATGAAACCTCAACCTCAGTGAAATTGACACTGAACGAATGACAGCTAAATTCTAATTTGAAACAGCCTTTCTAAGATCATAACGGCAACAACCACACACTCTTAGTGACTCTTACTTCCCTTTTCATTCCTCCCTAGAAAAACAGGCTGAATGAACAGGTAGAAAAAATTGTGAACAGACAAAATGGAGAGCTGTCAAGGTGAAAAACTATAACTAACAACTAAAATAGCTAGCTCATATTTTTCAACAAGCCTTTTTGAACAGAAAAGAAAAAGAAGATCCTAATTCAAAACCTTCAAATTTGTTGAACTTGTTAATGTTTTTACACTTTCCGCCTGGAGTTTCCTACAATAAAATCAGCGTCCTGTCAATAATTCTCTCACTGGCTCAGAAGTAGACCACCCCCCCCCCCTCGAAACCTTTCACCTCTCTGGGAGGCCTCCCCAGACCTTACCTAAAGGAGAACTCTTAACTTCACTGCATTTTCAACAAAAAAAGAGACTTTTGCATATTAGAGAAAATGACTTCTAAAGTTCTTTATCAAGGATCATCCCACTGATGGTTGCAGCGGGAAAAAAAGAAGCTGTCATTAATAACTGAAGGACAGTTGTGTACTGCTGGTATTGCTGACATTTTGCAATGAACTGGGGAAAACTGGGTCTTTAGTCGCACTTTTCTCACTACCAACCAAATAATGCGAAGAACAAAGAAATTGAGATACAGACTCCAGTTTAATTCACACCACTCTGGCTAGACACTCTACTCTGAGATTCATCATCCTAGATTTAAAAGTACTGAAAAATCAAAACTGCTCAACAATAGAACAATGACATTATCATCGAGCAATTTAAAGCTGATTATTTTGCAGGTGTTACAACAATAAAACACATTGCTTAACTCACTGAAGACGGTTTACGCAACATTTGCGAGCACCAATATTTCCCCGAGAGGCAGTTCACGCACGCCCTGCGATCACAAGTTTCACGTTATCTCCTCGGCAAAGTATGCACGAGAACCGTCTCTTACCGTGCAGCAGACCTTTGTTTCATTTTGAGCAAATTTTCACCGGAATAGTCTGGAAACTTTTTGAGTTATCGACCCGGAAGGAAAGTTAGTCACCACGAGGCCCTACTTTCGTTTCTCTGACAGGTGTTTGTTCTCGCAACAATTTGTCAGTATGATGGCAGCACATTTAGTTTTAGTAAGTTTTACGGCACTTGCAACACAATAAGGTCGAAGATTAGGCGTTACAAGAGAGCAACAAACACAAAAAAAGAAAGAAGAGAGATCAGGACGATAGATCTTTGATTGGAAAGAAGGAGCCTGAGCACCCGCCAACCACCCACTTGGTAGCACGAAAAGCAAACATTTTTCAAGTGTTTGCACGACTTTGGCAGTTCAGAAAATTCTGATTATGATATTTTAGAGCATAGGGATCCTGATTTCAATGTAAATGAGCATCAAAGCACTGACTCTGATAGCGAATGTTCTAGATCTAGACTAGGCGAAATTCCGCTTTGGAGCCCTGTTTTTTTCAAACTGTTCAAAGTGGATTAGACAGCTAATGCATATAAGGATTACCATCGATTACCTGCCTATTCATGAGTGTGGACGTTTTTTTATTCATTTTGAAACACAATAAAAGACACACACAAGATTAATTTTTGGGGGGTATTGTTGTTGTTTTTTTAACATCAATAAGACATAGCGACAAAAAATTTTGGCAAGCAACAACAGCTCCTAGCGGTTCACGGTACTGCTGTGCTGGTGAGCCAGGCAGTAGCAAAAATATATATTCCTTAACGTTGACTTTGACATCAAATTACGTTTTGACAATTGTCGAAATCAGTCTCTATTACCTGTGCACGGGGTTTTATGCACCCCGCATAATTTAGCAAAATTTGATCATTTGTTGCATAATTTCTGATTATTTTCCATTATCATTCTGTGTTAAAATTAACAGAATCGCATAATTTCTCATTTTTGAGCTCAGTTTGCATAAGTTCAGAATTTTTTGGCGTAAAACTGCGGGACAATTTTACCGGAAGTTAGCTCATTACATGAAGAACGAACAAAATAGGTGCGCTTGTTTCGATTTAACGATGTTTTTGACAATTTTAGATTTAGAATTGCAGTGTTCACACATATAGGAGTAGAGTCTACAAGCAATTCCCGATCAGATAAGGCCAAATTCGGGTTTCATCGTGACGAGCATCTGGCCATGACTGTTGATATTATTGTGTCGGTGAGCACTTGGGGAGACGCTCGCCGAGCATTAATTTAGGACAGCGAGCATATAGCCCACGGTGTCACTTTTCACCTGATTCTGTTACCTAAATAGTTAGCGTGACTCAGCAGCCCGCCGGAGCTCTCTGGCTCCGGGTCACGGGGTTAATGAGCCCTGAAGCAACTTTGCCGGTGTCGGTTAGGAAGTTCGCATTTTTTACTATGTTTAAAACGTTATAACTTCTTCCCCATCCCACCAAACAATTACGCGGATGTACTAAAAGCTCCATGTCTTGAGATTTATTCTGCGTTAGAATGGTTAATTTCTGTGCCTTAGTTTTTGTTCTAGACAAGTGTTTGTAGAGTACCCAATTTGTCCTATTTTAGTTACAAACTTATGAATAAATGATTGTTAATTTTAAAAAAGGCCCAACAGATCTTTCCAAAATCTGTGTTAAACTGACTACGAATATCTTTTTGAGTCTCAAGAGCAGAAACACATGCTTGGGTGCACTAAATGAGAATTACAATAAATACAAGGATATACCTAAAATTGTATGTTGAAAAGTATCAAAAATTAAGTAGGTGCAGACAGAGCGGTGACAGGGAGCTGATTCCGTGACCCCAACGTGATTTAAGGCGCCTAGCGGGAACCTCCCGCGGCAACTAAAATTCCACTGCCGGTGCAATTAGTATGAATCCTGGTCACTTGCAGAGCCAAGAAACACAACGGTGAGTAAAATTTCATACGCCGACAAACTCGCCTAGTCGGCGTGCAATGTTATAATAGTATAAAGAGGGGGAAGGGGCAAAATGTTTGTGCTTATTCCTTCAACATGTCCCATACATAACACAGACGATGGACGTATGCTTCCTGTATAAATAATAATGGTGCCCTTGCTGTTGTGCTGGTGCAAGAAGAGGAGAAGAGGATAAAGAGGAGGAAGGACCTGTTGGGTTAGACTATGGCTCATAAGAACTTCGGACAGTTTGAGGAGCTGATGGCTGAACTGCAAGTTGAAAGATGTGCCATCCTTCAGGAACCTCCTCAGAGCTTCTCCAGAGGTTTTCCAAGAACTACTGGAGAAAACTGGCCCCACCATCCACGAAGCAAACACTTTCTGGAGGCAGTCACCGGAACCTGACACCAAGCTGGTTGTCACTGTTCGTTATCTGGCAACAGGAAATAGAACACATGCTCGTCGTGTCAACTTTTGCACACCGTGCTTGAGTAACTCAGACTCCCCATGCAAGATTTTTCCACAGCGAGCAATAATTTCCGCAGAGTATAAAATTTAACATGGCTACCATTCAGATCTCGTCAGCGTGTCACTGTCACTCGGCAACGTATGCAACTTTGCACGCCAAGCTATTTCTGACTCTCCCTGAGTTTTCTCCGAGCGAGCTAAACTGACTCAGCGACTCATTTTCCCTAGACTCTGCAAAAATTTTAAGCATGTTTGAAAATTTCAGCAAGCTTCCCGTGTAATAATTTCAGACGGCAAGCATGAAATATCACTCAGAGAGGGAGGCCAATTGCCCGGCGAAATGTATCCAGAGTAGCCCTGACCTGTTGGACTTTAAAAATTTGGTCTTACTCAGTTTCGTTACTCCTGTGTGTGAACACCGCATTAGAGATAAAGAGTTAATAAATAATAATGTTCTATCTCAAAGTGTGTGGTATAGCCTCCCTTCTCACCCCACCCCTAAAAAATATGCCGACTTCAATGGGAAAAAATTCACACACAAAGTCAACTGAGAGACACTGACTTTTACGATGAATCATGATCCCGAGCTAAAGCTAAACTAAAAAAAATATTAAAAATTTGACCAAGTTCCTAGAAACGGCCAGCTCTATTCGGACTAGAGTCCGATTAGATTTTTCATCTATCATGCAGACTACGGGTTTTATCTAGATCTATTTGGACTCGGGTCTGAAAAAAAAAGCTTTATTTATTGGGACTCAGCTTTTAAGTGTGTTAAGTGAGTAAGGAGGTTACATAATATACAATAACTGTCATCGGGAGATTTTACGTAAAACTAGAATTAGTAGAAACCTACAAGGACTGACTGTAATTGTGTCAAAGTCAAAAGATTGCACTCTCATTGCCTGATGGCAGTGTTTAAGTATTTGGTAACCGATAACTCATGGTCTTTCGACCACCACTACAACATAATCATTACTTCCATCACCATTTGTCTTTCCACATGTTTAATTTCATTTTGTTAAATGCTATAGTTTTTCTGGAATTAATTATTTTTTAAAATCACACCGCACAAAATGGACAGCCGTGGCCTCTTCCCAACACCTCTTCCACCAGCAAGCTGAGAGTGCCTGATCGCTACGCACAGTCTCATAATTGGTCACTTAAGCAGAAGGGGGCTATATCGAAAAATGATGTTTTAAGAAAATCAAAGGTAAAGTTTTTGCCCCTTAACTTGTTCAGTTTCTTTAATTTAAAAGACAAGGAGAGTTCTCTATCAAACATATACACAGATGAAACCAAACATCTCCATAAAAAGTAGAGTAATGCTCACTAGAACTAGAAACCCCCGAAATCTGGGTTAGCCCGAAAGCGACCAATTAACTTTGCCCCCGGCAAGGTCAACTCAACTTTGTTGTTCTGTTCTCATACTAGATTATATTGCCGGGAGGGCCAGTTTAGATAGTTCTAGATCTAGAATCTAGTAACTGGATATTAAAGCTCACGTCTCGATGGTTATCATTATAATAGAAAATATTTTTCATAAATGGTGGAAACATTTGAATCTAGGAACAAGGGTCGGAAGTCAGAACGGACGTCATGCTGGACTCAATTTAGAGTCCGAAAATAATTTTTGTCTATGGGGACAGATCTAGAATCTAGTCACTTCATTCTAGAGACAGTCCAATTAAATAGGCTACTTTTATTAGATTCTAGATCTCCTCTATCTAGAATCTAGCCTAATAGAGTAGCAATGACCACGAAAAACCTTTTTTTGCCAGAAAGTGTTTGCAAATAGGTGCATTTTGTAGCTTTATCTTCACCAAGCATGGAACTTTTTGAATTTTTGAAATCCATCTATAAACAAAAAAGTTACGGATTTTTTAATCAATTAATTTCTGGTACACTTTTATATAATGAAAAAACCCCAAAATATGGGACGTTCTTTGGTGAGTTTTGAGACAATATTCGTCATAACTCGCTCATTTCTCAGAGTATTTAAAAGAAACTTGGCAACCCAGTACATTTTCTAGTGCAGAATCTAGTCCTGCTTTCAGATTATTCATAGCTATCCTATTTTTTGAGTTATGAAGACGATTATAGGTAAAAATGTGGCGGTTTTCGGTGCGTTTTGAGACAATATTTGTCATAGCTCGCCTATTTCTTGGAATATGTAAATGAAACTTTGCAGTCTAGTACATTTTTTTATGCAGAATCTAGTCATGCAGTCAGATTTTTAATATCTGTCATACTTTTTGAGTTGTAAAGACATTAACAGGTAAAAAATTGGCGTTCTTTACAGATTTACAAATATTATCAGTCATATGTTCTCCCAAAGTCATGATATTTGAATTAAACTTGGCAACATAAAAGGTTCCTCCTTGCCAAGCAATGCTCTGGAGATCAATTTGTCACAAAAATGTAAATAGAGAGCTGGATTTATTAGTCTAATAAATCCAGTTCTCTACTAGTAAAAGCATGCATACTTTGTTATAGAAAATAAGATCGTCTCTGTGTATATATCCATTGTTGGACAGTGTCCTATTGTGTGGTAGATTAAGTTGCGTTCAGATGATATAGTTTACAAGTCATGGGAATATTTCGCATGTGTAGGCTACAACTCATACAATAAATGTAACATATTTACACCCCCCCCCCTTCTCTCTCTCTCTCTCCCTCTCTCTCTCACGCGCGCGCACAAACACACACACGCATGCACGCGCGCACACACGCATGCGCACTCACGCAAGCGCGCGTGAACGATAACAATGTATAAACGGGACTATCTTCCCAGACTTGACTAAATAAGTACCATACTCTTTAATAACAATCTTAATGCCTCACTTTTCCAAACAGAGCGCACAGGACGAGTCCAAGTGTGTGGTTTCCCAAGAGGGGGGAATAGGCTTTCATAACGCAAACACAATGCCATACCAGTTCTCAAGATGTTTGCTTTTCTATTTCTATTCTTCTGTCATGCAATCAAGCAAATAAAAATGACTACATCTATTGTATTGTGACTAAAATGCAACACAAACGCAAGTTATCAGGGCCCCCGTTTAGTTTTCAAGTATCCTTCCCCCCCTTTCCGGTTCACATAAGCGGGGCCTCGTTTGTAGCGCCCGAGGCGACCCATGGCTGATGACGTCACTCAGTGGAAATTTCCCAGCCGCAGGTCGTTCGCAAATGGCAATGCCGCTTTTTCCCTTAGTTACTCCCACATTTTTAAAGATTACGCAATCAACCGCTAAACACAGAAGCTTGAAATTTTAAGGGAATAAAGAAAAATGGTGTACAACGTATCAGTCAGTTTGACAAATCACAGCTCCGAAAAATCTTCAAAGCGCACCACATCAACCACTTTTGCAAACGTTTTCGACTGCTTCTAGGATGGGTACAATGTTGTCAAACTGATACTACTAGATTGACCTCTTTTCTGATTGGCTGCCACGTTTCATTCATATCCATTCACGAGAAGCGGCGTGAGAGCGAGTTGAAGACAACAACCTTTGCGTTAGTGCATCCCGTGAAACACCCCCGCTGCGGGGGCCAAAAATCGGCAGAACAAAACGCGCTCGGTGGGCATTGCTAAATAGAGAGACAACCAGTAGACGTAGACTTTGTTGAAAGAAGAAGGAAGAGGGTTTTGAGGCTGAGGCCAGTACTAGCAGCAGTGATGGGATACAAACTGTACTTAACTAGAGTTACTGTTACAGAGTACAGTACAGTATAGCCCCCCCCACCCCAACAGAACACACTGCCTTTTACTTTTACTTACTTTTTACTTGTGGACAAGTGGAATTTCTCCCTCAAGTCGCAAGTAATATTTGATTAATTCGAAGTTCAAACACCAACTTCAGATGAACTCAATAGCACAGTGCTGACTAATTGGCAGTGCCAGTACCAGTACCAGTAATTTAGATAAAAGTTTAGTAATAATTACCTATAAAAACACCTAACATTAAAACAACAGCCAGCCCCAGAGAATCTAAAAGAAGAGTCTGAAAATAGACCTGCCTGGGATTTTGCCGTGTTGATTGGCTTTGACTGAGGAGAGGCTGGAGTCAATATAGATCTTTAGGCAGCTTTCTCTTTTTCTTCCTGTTTTGTCCTCTCAACCTCACCAAGAAAGAACATCGTACATAATAAAGGACTACTCGGGTCTAGTAGAAGGTCCAGAGACACTTAAAATTAGACTTGACGTCTTTCCTGTGCATTCAGTCAGTGCCGATCCTGCTAACAACACTGACTCGCATTGCAATCTTCAAAGCTAGGCTAGGGCTGAGATTCTCACGGTTGCGACAAAATATAGACAAGTCTAACGATCTAGATCTAGTTGAGGACCAGGTCTCTCAAATCTGATAAATCTATTTACCTTAAAAAAACGGTAATCACGGTACAACAAGAGGAACATGTCCTTAGTTTTAAAAAACCAGAACAATACCCGACCTAATTTGTACACATAATCCTTACTCACGTCTGGCCCTACACTTTCACGGCAAGGTTGTCTAGTCCAAAACGAGGCCCTGACACACTTCGTGGCCTTCCAGTCACAACATTCCGTGAGGGAGAAAAAAAAAACTATCGACCCAGGCTCAAAATGAACAGCATTAATACATCAAACAATCGTGCTCACACTTTATCTATGTACAAACCTCACTGACATTGTACAGGTAAACAGAACGTCGAAATACTTCACATTACATCTAGCAGTACACTATGAGGATGGCAACAATGTTGTTTCCCACAGTTGCGCAGTAGTGATGCGCATTATCTGTATCTACCGGAAATTACGTCAATACCTATTGACTTGGATTGGATGTGAAATTTCTACCCATAGCCTAGCCTTTTGGATGAGGCTTGGTTTGGCTTGTTCCCGAGCGCGTACTTGGCCTACTAAAATTACCCACTTACTTAGCAAAACGTCTTCTGACGTGATCGTATCTGAAGTGCAACCCCCCTACCTTTCCCATCCCACTCCCATCACCCCATCCTTCGCAATTTTGACCATTCACTCGGAATAGAAATTTTAATTATACGTACATCGTGTATAAAATCATCATGTAGTGTATTCATCTATATTGGCCCAAACAACTTTCCACGCATTTTGGGTAGGCCTAAAAGTCTAGTTTAGGTTTCCATTTAGACCTAGGGCCTACTTGATCAACTTACACAGTTGTTCTCTGGAGCCAACTTATTGGGAGGGGGGGGGGGGCACGACGTCATGAGCGAAAAACGATTCTGACCGTTATCAAAACAAAGTTATAAAGGGAGATCCCAACTTGACCCTGGCTGTTATTATAGCTTTCCCCTCCAAGTTGTGATGATATCCACTACTTTTATAATGCCCCAAAACTTTATCCAAATGGATTGAGTGGTCTCGTAGTAATAATGACGTACGTGTTACTAGTTATTGCTATAGCAATGTTAGCATCAGTTCGGAGTACAATCATCAATCCGTGTTTTGCTTCTTTCCTTTAATTGTTTTTTTTAAGTTGCTATCATTGCTCCGATTTGGCCTATTATTCTAAGGTGACATGGTCTGATATGTTTTCTTTAGTTCATATAGACAGGTATTATCAAAATGTAAGAAAAACATTCAAGAGAATAATATTTATTATTTTCGTTTTCTTTCATGTTGGCAAAGTACAGTGATGGTTGCTGCAGTTAAAAAGTAGTGATGGTTGGTGGTTGTATGCATGTGGGCCTAAAACATACTTAGGAGCAGAATTTTAATTTGACACCGTCCAAAAGAACAAAGTGAAAAATAGATTGTGTATGTTTTGTGGTGAATGCCATGTGAAACAAAATTAATTCAACTCAAAACACGAATTATGACACAATAATCAGTTCATAAAAATATTCAAAACTCTTCGGCATAGGTTACCAATCGAAAGTTGGAAATAGTGTTATTGTATACCAAAATAATATCACCAAACAATTTCTTGATATACCCCCCCCCCCAAAAAAAAAAAAAAAAAGAAAGAAAGAAAGAAAGAAAATCAGTGCAACGTAACTGTGGCCATTCGTTTTTGCACGGACCTTAAATTGTAACGTTTACAACAGTTCGGCATTTATAAATATTATTATCAGTAGGATCAATATTGTGCTGCTTGGGGACTCCATTCGAATTCAGTGCATACAAAGCTGGATCCTGTGTGCTGGCTTTATTGTCCGAACAGCACAGCCTCTATCTCGAATGTTCGGTAACAGCTCATCATGCCTGGGTTAAATCAAAAGCATATATCTAGATGCCAGTCAAGAGGTACCGGTATGGTTGTGAAGAAGCAGTTCCTGTACTTGTTTGCCCAAAGGAAAACACTGCACATCAAATAGATGGACTGTGTGTTAAAACACTTTGATATACCATCCGTAGATTCTGGCGTGATATGCTCTTAAAGTGTGTTTTGAGGGAGTCCAGTTGGTCCATTCCTCCCACCCATGGATGAGTTATATTCCTTAACAGCACAGGGCAGGGCAGGGCACGTTGATAGTTTACTTTTTTTTTTGAAGGGGGGGGGGGTGTTGTTTGTTTGTTTGATATTTTTAACCTTCTTGTCTTATCCTTTGACCATTTTGAAGAGTTCAGCACCTCTGTATGATGACACTATGTTTACCATGCGGTTATCATACCATCCCAGTGCTACCACGTCACTGTTTACTCTACCAGGTTGTCACAACCCCCCCCTCCCCCCGCCTCCCCTCTGTTCAGGTCGGCCCCTAAAGTCTGTTAGGCCTTAACGTGCAGGCAGTGTGGGCGCTGCTTAGACGCCACAGCCACTTGGACGCTGCTTGGAGGCCCCGTTTTGGAGCGACAAAAATTTAGACGACAAGAAAAGTGCTATTGAAGACAGCGTGGCAGCAACTTGCAAGTCACCCCCCTTTCCCCACAGACGATGCCTGGACACAAAAAAAACAAAAAAATAAACAAACAAAAAAACTTACAGCGTTTTGTATTAGCTCAGTGCTTGGTCCTAACTTTCTCGCTCCTTTCAGGCCCCAGCACGACACAACTTATAATAATAATATTACATTATGTCGCACATCCATCTCCTGGGCCTTCAAGTTCAATCACAACTTCATCTCAATCACAAATGGCATTTAGTACACAGTACTTATGATTCAGCACAAGCAGTATCCCCAATACAGTTCATCACAATATCAGCAGTATTAACAGCACGTTTTTCTGTTCTTTATGTAGATGAAAAAAAAGTCTTGTTCTTTAGAAGGGAAGGCTAAGTGCTTATTTAGGAGCAGTACTGTGTATCAGCCATTACAACTATTGTTTAATTAAATCATGTAATCATATTCATAATCACTATTATAATCAAAATGACAGTGAATAGATTTTAGTTGTGACGAGGGCTGCTGTCCAGGGGCAGAACACGTTAAGGATTGTGGGCAGTGAGCACACCTGCTGCTCCCCCGCGCTCCTCCAGGTCCCACTA